AGACATCTCACTGCCAGAAAAGGTGACGACGCGTTACCAAATATTACCCGATTTATTTCAAATATTTTAAAATCTTCTGTCGTTTCAGGGCGCCATATTATCTTTTGAAACTTCCTATCGTCTTCATTTACGAGTATTTGTAAGTACATTTTTGATATGTCAGCAGTCAGCACATATTTATGTGTGCGGAATCGACACAGAATTGAAAAAACGTCCTCTTGTAATGTTGGCCCTACGTACTGCACATCGTTTAAAGAAAGTCTGGTTGTTGTTTTTGCCGAAGCATCAAAAACTACTCGGCACTTGGTAGTAAGGCTGTCTGACTTTATTACCGCTTGGTGGGGTAAATAATAACCTTCAGATATCAGTGACATCAGATTTTCTTGGACATTCTCTTCCTCAAATGTTGTAATCAACGTCATATATCCTGAACTTTCGAATTCTTTCATGTAGGCACAGTAATCTTTTTTGAGTTCTGAATTTCTCGCAAACCTCCGTTCTAAACTTTTAAATCGCGTTAAAGCGGATTGAAATGACTCACCTAAGCTATTGAATGTACTTTTAAAGGGTAATCTTACTATAAAACGACCCTTTTCATCCCTAGAAACGTTTTGTTTAAAATGACTTTCACAAAATTCTTCCGATTCGTTGGCGTTTAAATCATTTCCTACCTCTTCTAAGACCCAAAATTTCGCCATTAAATCATTTATATTTTTCTCACGTTGACTTATGGATAGACATGTAATAGATTTATTCGAATACCCAGACTGCATATTTAAATTTCCCGCTACTATCCATCCGAACAGCGTATTTTGCAAGAAAAGAGCGTCGGGCCCTAGTCTCATTTGACCTTGGCAAATCACTGCCCAAAATACGCTCGAACCCAAAAGAATGTCGATTTCACCTGATACATTGAACCCGGGATCAGCTACTCTCATAGTGTCCGGAATGTTTAGCATGTTTTCTCTGAATGAATAACTAGGCAGGTTATTTGTGATTTTATGTAAAATCATACATCTAATTTTTTCCGAGAATTCCGTACAATGCGATTTAATTTCCAAGTTTATTTGCTCTGATATGTTGGTCAACGTTTCTCCTACTCCTTTTACTGCATGGTCAATGCATAATTTTGGTAATCTCAATTTGTTTGCCATGTTTGCTGTGATGAAATGATTTTGTGAGGCCGAATCCAACAATGCTCTACAAGAAATCCATCTGCCTTCGCTGTCTTTTACTTTTATTAACGCTGTACTCAGCAGAACTTGGGTGTTTATGTTCCTATCATGATTTTCAGAAACCGAATTGCATGAAACTGTATGGTTTGACTGTTTTGACGACGCATTTGTATTACCCAGATTGCCCTGTGCCTGTGTTGAAGACGAGGGTGAATCTTGTGGCGCCAGCGGGACGTAGACTTCTCCGCCAGCGGTCGTTTCTGATGACATGTTTGGTATATGTAAGATCGTGTTATGAGTTTTGTGACACTTCAGACACTTTGAAAGTTTACATTTCCACGTTGCGTGGGATGGCCGCAAACAGTTCAAACAAAGTTTTAATGATTTTACTTTTTCAATTTTCTCCCGAGAGCTCAGTTTCAAAAACGAATCGCATTTAAATATACTGTGATTTTTTCCGCATGCATAACATTTAAATTCTGTACTTTCTGTAGTTGTGACAAATGCATGAGATTTTTTAAAGTCGGTTTGTTTTTTATTTTCGTTCGACGATTTGAATTTGTGGATTTTTTCTAAGGTCGCACATTTTGTAGTGAGAAATGAATCCATGTCGTCTAGGGTCGGGACTTCTCCCTTGTATTGATAAGCTTCCCAAGAATTGAAAGTAGCACTATCAAATTTTTTACACAATATGTAAATTATGATCCTATCCCAATTTTCAGTGTGTTCTCCAAGGCTATTTAGAGCACTCATGTGTTCAGTTATCGTGTCATACAAGTAACGCAGGTCTACATGTGAGGCTCTGTTCACTTCAGGCATTTCAAAAATTGCCTGAAGATGGCTATGTATCAACAGTGGCTTATTTTCGAACCTATCTTTCAGGATTTTCAAGGCTTTTGGGTAATTGGTGGCAGAAACTTCAAGTTTACTGATTATTTTCTTCACTGAATCCGATAAACAACCTTTCAAGTAATAGAATTTTTCGATAGTGGTCAGATTATCCTCTTCATCAACTAAAGCAGTAAACAGTTCTTTGAATTCCCGCCATTTTGCATATTCTCCATTAAATGTAGGTAGAGTTATTTCTGGTAACTTAATTTTCAACCTACTTCTAGTCGTACTTCCTGAACCAGCCTCCGAAAGTACCGAAGCCGGCCTAGGTGCTTGTAAGTCATGGAAATTTGAAATTATGGCATCTAATTTTCCTACTATAGAATAATATTTTTCTTCAAAAGATTCCCTTTCTAAGTCTTCGGCTTGACCTTTTAAAACTTCAATTTTGTTTTGAACATCTTCATATTGTTCCAAAAGAATCTTCACGTTATCTAATCTAGTTTCTAACTCTTTTATTTTTTCTAGCTCTATGTTATCAATATCAAGTTGTGAAATGAATGTTTGTGTCCTAGTTAATTTCCCTTTTAAAGTAGTTCTTTTCTGTATCAATGTTTCGATCGTTTCTGCCATTGTTGTTGCTCAACGAATGAATATTGAACGTAAAGGAAAATATAAAAGGTAAGGTAATGAAGTGAACGGGCTTACGGATACATGGTGGGATAAGACTCCTACTCGCTGATATTCCGCTGCCTGCAGGTACGTTGTGGCACAGCAACCGATCACGTGATCCTCCTTTTCTTGCGTATGTCTGCCGGCTGCTACAAGTGGCCGGTCGTTGTCATTAACTTACAAGTGACAAGTAATAAGTAGATTCACTAATTCACATCCGGCTCGAAGGACCATGTTAAAATGTAAATATATTTGTGGACTGTAGTTTTTTAGTTTTTTAATGAATCGAAATGACAACTTGTGGCAATTGTGCCAAACAAAAGAAACACAGATATAAAAATACGTCTTTAGTCTATAACTGCTCGAAGGTCTCTGTCTCGGTCGGGATGCGACCCTCACCCGGTGGCAACCGGTATGCCAGGGTTGGTTTCGCCCCTAACACAGTTGTGGATTGTGGAGAATCAATGCTAACCGTATTTCAATTTATGGAGGATTAATTTTTCCAGTTTCACCCAGATCCACTTGTAGGTATACCGTTTATACGGAATTTGCAACAAACTGAAGGAAAGGAACGCTATTTTGAAAATAGTCTACTACTTCAGTGTCACACTTTCATAGGAAAGGACCAGGCCTATTCTTATCAAGGTGTTATATGTTACAATCATGTGGTTAGTATTCTTGAATATATCACCAGTTTCAATTAATTTAAATTAAAACTATTCAACTACTCAAGTGCTTAGGACCACATTGTGCATTCGGTGAGGTGTCATGAACTCTAATTAAAATGAGTTTCCCAATTGGGAGATCGGGCTCGGACTCATACAACAATGTTTTGATAGCAAACCCAGACCTACTAATATTTTCAATGAAAATAAATACTCGTCAGTGGAGTATTTATTTTCATTGCAAATACATTGGACCTCTTTGAGTATGGATGATTTCTAGGATCTACTAATTGATTTCAAAAGATTATTCCATACAGTGAGATCAAGTGTTGCATCCACTCTACTGACGCCGACAACACATTCTGAGATCTGCTCAGTACTCCTAGATGAATAAGAAATAATACTACTCCTAGATGAATAATCATTTCTGTTGTGTGAGTCATCCAAGCAATTTTGTAATTTATTCACAAAGAGAAGTGATAAAACATGATAAAATATAATTTTTCTCCCGTTTCATGATAATCAATAGACAAATAATGAGAAAGGTCCATTTTTATTTTACCCCAGCTTCTTCAACACCTCTTATATTGAAAGGACCGCTTGTTTTGTAGCCTGAAGTGAAGAATATGAAGCAAAGGCAAGTTTTTTTTCTATAATTTGAAAAATGACTCACTGTACAGGCTAATAATTTATTTAATTGGAACTGTTGGAAGGTTCCAAGTAAATACACTAAATGAACAAATGCTTACTAGCTCACCAAATATTAAAATCCAAAAAATTCAAATAAGTTATTTTAAATGAATGGGTGTGTGGGTGTGTGTGTATTTCAACATTCTTCGTTTTTTTTTTGTGGAAAAAAATAGTTGCTGATGAAAATTCAATCTGAAAAATCTAATTTTATTAAGAATATGAGAGTTTCTATTCATTCACAGATGGTTTTCAATGAGGACATTTTATTTTTCTCAATCAGAAGATTTTTTTAAACTGAGTTTCTTATTCAATACTATTTTTATTGAAACATGTGGATGGATATTGAGAAAAACTTCTGAGTTCATTTTAAAAAGTAATTGAATTAGAAATGTGCTGAAGAAAAGTTTAAATTTAAAATTCAAAAACAAATGTTTGAATTCAAAGTTAGAATTATGAATTTGAAAGGAATTTATGGAATTCAAGTCAGAATTTTAAGAAAAATGTTGAATTCTAGAAAATAGTGAAGACTAAATTGAATTTTTGAATAAATTCAAATTCAAATTGAATGGGAACTGTTGAATTCAAAGTTAGAAATTTGATTGAAAAAAATGTTGGTACCAAAGAAATTTCTGTTTTGAAGAAAAAAGTCTGGACTTCAATAATTAATATTATACCATTGATGAATTATGAAATGTTGACAGGAAGCCTCAAATTTAAGAGTATAATTTCAATAATAAATGTTCACTAATTTTTTTTACCTCTTGGAGCGCACGAAAGGAAATCCCTATAATGATCGGAGAACATCGTGCATACCTAGGGAGGATACGATTGTAAATACATTTGTACCAACTAGGCTAAATTCAATTTTCTAATGATGAGAACTTGAGAGTTCCAGAGTTTGAAAACATTATTTAGTCCGAGACCCTACCACCCAGTAAACCAAAACAATTTCCAATAAAAAACTCACCTAATCCTCTAGCAGCCACATCGGTGGCAACCAAAATGGTGGCTTTACCAGATCTGAACTCCCTAAGCACATAATCTCTTTCCTGTTGGCTCTTATCACCATGCATCGCTACTGCAGGCCAACCATAACGTCTAATACCTCTTGTGATATTTTCGACCTTCTTTTTCGTTTCTACAAAGATGATTATTTTCGCGCCTGGCTCGCCATTGTTACCAATCTCTTGCAAGAGATTTCCTAATCTGCAGGGAAAGAGAGTTCAGTTATTGAATTGAGTAAGTTTGTGAGCATCAATTATTGAGAGAGTGATCATCAGTTCTTCTTAGAGGTTATGGGTGCAGTGAAATAATCACAGTTCTCATAAAATTGTCTCATCATGTTAGCAATATTGAACTCCAAAATTCTTTTAGTTATTCTCACTTGAATCATTCATCATTTTTTAATGTAATCTTAAGGTTTTGAGTTCTTCATCAAATTTCAAGCTGTGAACTCTGGATAAAATTGAAGTGATGAAATGGTAAACAATTTCATTACTGGGGACATGTTTCAGACCTATATTATAGGTTCATCATAAGCAACATACATTAAATTGTGTGAGTGGAAAACATGTATGCAATGAAAGCCTGCCTTAGCAGTTAAAAATCTGTATCTACTATCATGCAAGTTCATTTTCTATCAGACGTCAGAATATAATTTTTGGTGTGCTGGCAGTTTACAGATATTGTCTTAGCCATGAATGAGAATATTATTGGAGTAATTCCTTGCAGCTTGCAGCATCACTAGCATCAGTAAATATGTTTTCAAAGTGGCTGAATGATCACTATTCATCACACAAAAATCAGGTTAAGAAAAAAATAGTATTAATAAAGAAAAATATTGTGACAAACCATGCTTGTTGGGACTGTGAATATGATGTTTTACTCATTAGAGACATGTTTTCTCCTCAAATATTCAATGTATGTTGTTGAAATGGACTCAAGTCACAAAAGTCTGGGGAATATTCCTTGTGTATGGAAAATTACAGTCAACTTTTTTGCTCATCTTACTCTTTTTTGAAAAACAAACTTGTTGTTTTCTATTGCTTCATCTGAAGAACCAAGTGAGTTGAAGAAATCTGATTGGTGTTGACTTTTGGGCACTAAACTATACTAAACAACATATAAATGAAAATCCGTTTTTATCAATTTCAACGCTCTAGAAATCAGACGGTTATCGGATATCTGTAAATAGGAACTTTGTTTCTTAGTTATACGGGAGAAATATAAAGGCTTTTGTAACTAGACTTCAGGAACATCCTGTATAGATTCAAAACATATCCCTGAAAATAAAATTGTGTGTTTACTTGCCATTTAATTACTACTACACTTTGAGAAGCCACAGACTTCCATATTTGTTCAATAGTAGTAGCAAACAAGTTTTATAGAAATTGGGAAATGGAACAATCTGAATCTTTCAATCAACAATATCCTCAGAAATCCAGGCTACTCACTTTTGTTCCTTTTCATGCTCTTGGCACACGTCAACAATCTGCATGATATTATGATTGGCTGAGAGATTCGGAGACCCAACATTGATGTGAATGGGGTTATTCATGAAGTCTGCAGCCAGCTTCTTCACCTCCTTGGGCCAAGTAGCAGACCACATGAGCGTCTGTTTGTCCGGCCTGACTTGGCCCAAAATCTTGCGAATCTGGGGCTCAAATCCCATGTCCAGCATCCTATCAGCCTCGTCCAAAACCAGATAAGTGCATCGTTCCAGGTTTGTGGTGCCTTTAGACAGAAAATCGATAAGCCTGCCAGGTGTGGCGATAACGATTTCAACACCACGTTCCAAGTCGCGAGCCTGAGGCCCCTTCGGAGCTCCACCGAAAACGCAAGTGTTCCTGACATAGGTGGTGCTGCCAAAATCATTGGCAACCTGTTGGATTTGTTGGGCGAGCTCTCTAGTGGGGGCTAGGACCAAGGCAATGGGGCCCTCTCCACGGCTGATCTGGGGCTGGTTGTTGATATGGACGATAGCAGGCAAGATGTAAGCCAAGGTTTTCCCCGAACCAGTTTGTGCAATTCCAACCATGTCACTGCCACTCATGGCAATAGGCCAACCCTGTGCTTGAATAGCAGTAGGTTGTTCATACCCTTGACTCTTAATTCCACTCAAAACATAGTCAGGAAAGTTAGCTTCGTTGAAGTTCTGAATGGGGTTAGGTACATCACCTTCCACGGTGATTTCTTGCTTGTCACGAAACTGGTTCACCTCGGAAGCAGACCTGTTAGCAATGATAGGGTGAGGGACATAAAAGTCCTTCTTGAAGGGTTGCAGGGATTTGCGGCCCCATTCTACTTGTCTCAACCCTTGGTTGTTCAAGTTGCCGAATCTGTCCCCACCTCCGAAACCTCCGCCGCCGCCGCCACCGTTCCTATAGCCACCCCCTGAGTTGGAGTTACGGAAACCGCCCCCACCGCCAGAACCGCCCCTAAAACCTCCCCCACCACTGGAGCCCCCATAGCTACGGCCACCGCCGCCACCATAACCGTTTTCGCGGCCTTTGAATCCACCGTCGCCGTAGGTCCTGGAAATGGAAGAAGAGATCAGTACAGGGACGTTTCGTGACAAGGAGGAAGAGATGCGCAGCAACTGGACGCCCCCAGATAAAGGCGCCATCTGAAAGTGTGCAAATAAAAAGCACCATTATACCGGGTGACACAGGAGACATGTGGCAGCCTGTAGTTTTTTTATTTGAAGAGATAAAATTTTGAAATTCACAGGGGGTGTATAATAAATGGTAGCGCACTTTACGAACTTAACGACAATTTTTTTCAACCACCTGTTTGACCGGAAGTGACCCCAACTTTTTTTTTTAAATGTCGCCCTGTAAATTTCTTCAGTCTATCTTTTTCGCCTTGAAATTCTCTATCCAACCATGTATCACAAAGTGGCATTTATTTCTTAATTCGCTGTTGAATTGCTCTTTATTCAAAAAGAATAAGTTGGCTGTGACATGAATTCGATGATATATCGACACTTGGTAGGCTTTGAAATTTGAAGATCATTAGTAAACCGATATTATTCAGAATGTTTTGATATTCTGATCAATGTCTGTAGGTAGATTGTTTGAGTCAAGATGAAAACCTTCGAAAATAACTCATGATATTGAGGAATCTAAGAAAAGAACATATTTTTTCGAATTCAGCTACCCGTACAGAAACTATCTGTCTTTGATTTTCGCCATGTACCTATCACATGATCTTCCCATTTGGGATGATAAAACTAAAATTGTTCCTCTTATACGATGATCCACAGGGATATCAGTCTATTTTTTCATAATTATTTCACTTAGTAGGCGGTGTACCTACACAAAATGTTTTGTGTTTGACAGTTAATCGATTGCATCAATAATTTTTCTTCTTCATTTGTGTGTTAATTAAAATTGCATATTATCAATAGAGACGGAAAATGTGTTCAAGAAACGAAAAAGTCGATATGTTGAATTCATGTCACAGCCAACATATTATTATTCTTTTTGAATAAAAAGAAATTCAACAGCGAATTAAGAAATCAATGCCCCTTTGTGATACATGGTTGGATAGAGAATTTCAAGGCGAGAAAGATAGACTGAAGAAATGTACAGGGTGACTTTTGAAAAAAAAAAAGTTGGGGTCACTTCCGGTCACAGGTGGTTGAAAAAAATGGTCGTTAAGTTCGTAAAGTGCGCTACCATTTATTATATGCCCACTGTAAATTTCAAAATGTTATCTCTTCAAATAAAAAAACTACAAGCTGCTACATGTTTCCTGTGTCACCCGGTATGCTCAGTTTATAAACATCACTAAACTAGGAATTAAATTAACCACTAAGAATTAAGAAAGATTAATATAGGAAAAACCATTTGGGTTAATGATTAGGAAGATCATCAGAGGCGTCATTTCAGCGTTGATTGATACATTATGCCTACGCTGGGAAGATTATTACTATTATTATTATTATTATTATTATTATTAAACACCTGGAAGGGACCCTATCTCTTTCTATCTTATGTTGGCTAATGGAAAGCGCTCGCATTATTTGAAATATTTTCTTGTTTTTTGCTTTTATTCAATAGTATATGTGATTAAATATAAATATTCTTTTAGGATCAATTATTATTTGAAAATAATTATTGATTTTTTTATTGACTCAAAAGTGAAATTCCATTTTTATTCTTACAGGATTAGGAAGGCAAATGAATACAAAATGAAATTATATATTCTCATTCAAATGTCACGATATATTGTACAGGGTGAGCGAAACTCAATGTCTCGCACTATCAGAAGAAATAGAAATACGATCAAAAAAATTTGAAAAGAGGTTCTTGAATGGTATCGAGTACCTTAGGTCTATTTTGAGCCTAATTTTTAAGAGTACCTATTTTTCCATAAACATTTCACTATTAGAAGGTGAATAAAAGGTGAATAAAATTACAATGTTAGGACGAATTTTTTCATTAAAGATGAATATCTGCGTCGCCCAGAGAGTACACCTTCATTTTTTCCTTTCTGGAGAAGGAGAAGCTCCAAATGCAAATCTGACAATATTATGATGCAGCTCTCGAGTTAAAAATCTGAACTTGTAGTTTTCACCTTCAAAATGTTTTTTCAGTACCTCATCAAGATTGTCTTTCTCCTTTTTACTTTTTGTTTCAGTATTTTCACTTTTCTTTGCAATAGAATATAGGTCTTCTCGAATGAAATAGTTTGTAGGTTTAATTATCAATAAACTTTGAAAGTTACATGGGAGCTGGAAGTTGTAAGCAAATCAATGTCCATATGAAAAATATTGCCTTTAGAATCCCAAGTTATAAAAATCTAGAGACACATCCACATCCTGAAAATAAATTACTATAGTTTTTCTAAGAATCTGAACAATTTTCAACTTACCCATGAAAAAATTTCTGTTCGCCTTGCTTATTTTGCATCCAAAAGCAACACAATATACATAACCATTGTTTATTAATTCGAAATCACAAATCATTTCAACCATAATCAATGCACACCAACAAATTCACTCCTTTTGAAGAAACAAAACACGCCAAATTTAGGGATATTTCACATAATTAAAAGCAATGAAGTTCTGTCTTCACTTGTTTGCCTGTTTAGATGAAAAGAAAATATTTTAAATACTTCAATCATTGGATAAAAGAAAATGTAGACACCAATCCGTTATTAAAAATCACGAGTGTGAAAGAGATATGTTACCGTAACACAAGCTATCTTTGTGCTTTTAGAGAAACCGGCCGTCTCCCTTCCAGGTGTTTAAATTGAATTCATTGGTCTGAACTCATTGTACTGTGGTACAGATTACTACAGTTTCGGACAGAATTACAGATCCCATCCCATGGCGTGCTATGGCTCTAGACATTTTTGCTTATCCTTGTCTTCGACGATGAGACCCGACCGGTTCCGAAAAATAAAATGTTTGTTTCCGTCGGTGAATCCCCAACACCGTCATCAATCAATCAATCAATCAATCAATCAAAAGTGTACTTTATTGTCGAAGATATAGATCTTATTGACAAAGCATGAAATGTATAATAACAAACATGGTATAGATCACAGAACAAAAATAAAATAAAATAAAAAATTAAACAGAATATCAGCATATTTTTGATGATCAATATTTCATGATCAACACAAAAGAACTTAAATACCACTAATAAAATCAGTTAAAAAAATGTAATAAAGTATAATAATAATTGTATAAAACATGTTATTCACAGGGTGTTAAAATCCAATTCTCTGGGTGCTGAAATGCGATTTGCGATTCTCAGATTCTTGACATCTTGATATTTCAGAATTCAGATGTTATTTTTGTCAGTTGTATGATGAATTGATGTTCATCATTCAGGGGGTGTGGAAAAGTTCTGAATTAGGTTCATATCTAGCTATGAGTTCAATACATTTCCGATGTCAGAACACTGTTTCTATTGTATCTACTTATTTCCAATAAATTTTCATCACATATCTCTTTTCTCCACTGGTCAAAGCCATTTTCGCCAAAAATACAGTGAGTAAAGAGAAAAAAAATGTTTCTTCAAGGTGTCCTATTCAAAGAGGCGTAGGTCCCTAAGAAAGTATTTTCGGACCCATATTGATAAAAACTTTTTCTTATTTTGATGCAAGGATTGCGCCTCCGAAAGGATGCCGCTTACGTTTGAATCACCCTGTATAAATCTGAGAATAACCATATTCATGTTTCTGCGCATGCGTATTTCTTAAATACATTTCTATGGCCGACCAAAACTAGCTAATAATAAAATTAAATCAAATATAAGTTATTTCTATGAACAGACCAACATCTTTTGACACTATCGCCGCACTATGTGAGATCAGGAATTATGCTATGCCATGGAGTAGTGAGATTTTTTTAGACCTCATTTTGCTCCATGAAGTTGGACATCTTCCCAGCGTAAGCATAATATATCAATCAACGATTTCAGTGAATACCAGGAGATGTCAAGAAAGCCAGAAAAATTTTTTTTAATGTGAAAAATGCGCAGCAGGCAAAATTTATTTCGGGTTCAAGTCAAGGCCAAATGCCTTCATATTGAAAATTAGATTACTCTCAGAGTGAAAACAACTCCACATCAGTGTATTCCGCCGCAGATGAAATTTTTTTTGAGATTCAAGGTCAAATGCCTCAGGAAAATTGAATTTCTTCCAGACTGTCAAGTTACATGTCTTCTGTCATTACTGACATCTTTTATATCTCCACATTATTTTGAAAATAATCACTATTACTTGTCTAACAGACACTGGCTTACTCCTTGGATCTTTTGTCAAATATCAAGCATATTTAGATATATGTATCAAGACAACAGAGTTAAGGTAACATTCTAGTGGATTTTTGAAGAATAGTTCAATTCATCAATTATGATTATCATGATCATTTAGGCTGGGTTTATAGATTCAACTGAACTAGTAATAAAACTAACAACTATGAACTCAAAAGTTGAATACAAGGAAACATCTATGAAGGTTTATACATTTACATCTGTCATTCAAATCAAGAATTAAAAATTACAAAGTTGGCCAACTTTCAGCCTAACAACTAAGAATTATGAAATTCTGGAGACAGAATGAAGATTCGATTTGCTATTGTTCAAGTGGAGTTTGGTGAGTGATATTTAATTGGAATATTTTTATGGATTCATTATTTGTGCAGACCAAAATCACTTTTTAACATCATTTTGATCATTAACTGTTGATTGTTATGCTGGGTTTATAGATTCAACTAAACTAAGAATTAAACTAACAACTATGAACTTGAAAAGTTGAATACATGGCAACATCTATGAGGGTTTATACATTTACATCTGTCAATTAAATTAAGAATTATGAATTACAAAGTTGGCCAACTTTCAACTTAACAACTAAGAATTAGGAAATTCTGGAGACAGAACATGAAGATGGGATTTGTTATTGTTCAAGTGGAGTGTGGTGATATTCAATTGGATTATTTTTCATGGATTCATGAATTGTGGAGACCAAAATTACTTTTTAACATCATATTGATCTACAATCAAAGGACATCTCACATCTAATTCATAATTATTATCAGATATGTATAAACACCCTCATGATAATTAATTGTTGATTGTTAATTGTTAATTCCAAATTGTTAGTTTAATTGAATCTATAAACCCAGCATTAATGCCTTATTGTTAATTTAATTGAATCTATAAACCTAGCATCATCAGCACTTCTTAAGTTGGCAGTTGGGCATCTTCTTAAATCTTAAATGTAAAATCATAACCTAACCAATGATATTTTCATGTTCCATCTGTCATCAGTGATAAGCCTTAAATGTTAGGTGATATTATGTAGGTGATAAGTCTCAAGTCTTATTGAAGTTCTTTAATATAAAGTGACCCTTGTATATAAACCCAGAATTATAAACCTTAATGCTGAGTTTATAGATTCAACTAAACTAAGAATTAAACTAACAACTATGAACTTGAGAAGTTGAATACAAGGAAACATGTAGGAGGGTTTATACATTTACATCTGTCATTTAAATCAAGAATTACAAAATTGGCCAACTTTCAACTTAACAATTAAGAATTATGAAATTCTGGAGACAGAATGAAGATGGGATTTGTTATATTTCCAGTGAAGTTTGGTGATATTTAATTGGAATATTTTTCATGGATTCATGGATTGTGGAGACCAAAATCACTTTTCAACATCATTTTGATCTTTAATCAAAAGACATCTCACTTAATTCTCAATAAATATCAGATATTATGTATAAACACCCTCATGATTATTAATTGTTGATTGTTAATTCCTAATTTAATTGAATCTATAAACCCAGCAAAGGTGGATAGATGAATTTGCTAGGTTTCAAAGATTTTTAATGAGAAGAAAATAAGTAGTAAAAATATGGATTATTTCATGAGAGGTGTTATTAAGGTATGATGCTATGAAGAATAATCATTTAAATGGAGATGATTAAAGACTTAAAGAGCATTAGCTCATTAGCTTGTTTCCTAGAAATCTGTTATTAAATGGTGCCCAGAAATGAGAAATCGATCATGAGGTTAGCGCATGGCAAGAACACGTGTATGATAAGAAAATGGCAATGGCATGATGCTGAAACATGGCAAATTTCATGGATGAGTCACCATTAAGGTTATGAAATTAACAATGCAAAACTGAAAAACCGTAACAAATAACATGTAACGCAAATAGAAACTTACATGATGTTCGATAGTTTCAATAGATGTTCTTGAAAGTAGTTGATTTGTTAAATCAACTTGGTGGCCGCTTCAATGGACCGAGAAGAGGTTATTTCTGAAAATAAAAAAGTACGGCTACTTACTTCCTCATTGAAACTTCTAGCTGATACAAATGAGAATGCAAACAAAAAAAGTCATATTTCGAGAGAAATGAAAGATCATTTGATACAAAAAATTTGATAAAATGTGGAGAAACAACTCACCTTCTCAAAAGTCCAAATGAAAAGAGAAAATTACCGGACTTCAAAAATTGAAGGAGAAGAGAACCATAGAACACAAAATATCAATTGACACAAAACAGAAGAACAGAACTATAATGCCATGAAACAAACTCTGAGAGTCTGAAGATACATCTATTTCTGTTAGCTCACTTTGTTAAAGAGAGAAACAGAGTTACGAAGAAGTTCGATTGATGCAAGGTGCAACACCATACAGGAACAAATTTTATAATGACAATGCAAACGAACAGACGTATATTTTCTGTTATGTTATGGTCTCAGGACTGTTTGCGCAAATGGCTCTCAATGAATTTGGCAGTTTGGTATTAGAGCAAAGGAAGGCATTAATAAAATGAGAAAGAAAAAATTAAGCAGAAGATAGATAATAACCAACTCATTTAATTTTATTTTCAACTGTTAGTTCAAATTTGACAAGACACGTCATAATAATCCGATTTTCAGAGTTTTTTTCCTAAGGTATTTTCTCCTATATTGAATATGTACATTTATGTAGTCTCCTTCATTATATTGGTATATTGTAATAATTCCTCATTGGCATGGGACTCTGAACAATTAGAAGTTTTTGATACCGTGGACGAAGTCAAACAAAATTTTTATGATTTTTTAAACATCTCTCAAGTAAGTAGATCACCACTAGTTATCAATTGATATTTTCACACGTCATTATTCAAGAATTGTTTCAGAATGCCACCAACCTCGAAATCAGATCGGCTTATAGAGGACTCACAGTTAAACTACATCCTGACAAAAATAAAGATGTTGACACATCTGAGCAATTTCGTAACTTAGTATCAGTGTATGAAGTACTCAGAAGCAGTACTAAGAGAAAATACTATGATGAGGTTCTTGTCAAGGGATTACCTAACTGGCGATCAGGCCTGTTTTACTACAGATTTGTTAGAAAAATGGGTGTTGCAGAAGTTTTGGCCATTCTGTTTGTTATAATTTCTATTGGTCAATATCTGGTGAATTGGGGTGCATACTTGGAAAAAAAACTGACACTTGTGAGTATTACTTTGGCCCTCAATGATTGTATAGTAATCAAATTTGTTTTAGCAAGATCAAATATCTAAGAAGAAAAAGTCAAATAAAAAAGCTAGGGTTGATGAACTAGACATTGTCATACCAAAACCTTCTATCCTAGATACTCTGCCAGTACAAATCCCTTGCCTTATATGGTACTTGATAACATCTATGCCAACAGCTTTGGGTTTAATAAAAAAAGCAGTGGAAGAGAAAATTGAAGAGGCAAATAGAGAACCTACTCCAGAACCAGAACCAATTGTTAAAGTTAAAACTGTAAGGAAACGTAACAAATTTGTGGTTCCAGAAGGACCCAACTTTGAAATGCAGAAGACCAGTGCAAACCAAACTGCTAGTGAGTCCACTGCTGCACCTATATCAGGGGGCCTATGGACAGATGATGACCTAGGAGAACTCATCCGTTTAGTCAAGAAACACCCTCAAGGTTCTGCTGCCAGGTGGGAAAAAATTGCTGAGGCTCTCATGAGGTCTGTGCCAGAGGTAAAATAATCAGTCTCTTTTCAAAACTTGTGTTTTCACATCTGGCCTAATTTTACAGGTGACTTATATGGCAGCCAAAATGAAAGAAAATGGATACAGATTACCTTCAGAGCAAGAAGAGGAAATTGTAGTGAAAGTGAAGCAAAAAACAAAGAAAGATGTTGATAAGGGTGAAGGGGTCTTGAATTGGAGTCAGGATCAGCAGAGAGCTTTAGAAGATGCTTTGCTGAAGTTTCCAAAAGGTTGTTCTGATAGGTGGGATAGGATAGCTGAACAAGTTTCTGGAAAAACTAAGGTATCATCAATTTCTCTGTTGAACATGTCCTTCTTTCTCAAATCTCTCAATATCAAAGTACATCAGTAGCTTGCTTCTATTTCTTTTTTTAATAAGTACCAAACATTTTTTTTTAGGAGGAATGTATGATGAGATTTAGGTTTCTGGCAGAAGATCTAAAGAAACGAAAAGAAAACCCAGAAAGTGATGAACAATTGAATCAATAAAATATATAATTTTTAAATTTGGCTTTACTGTGACTTTTTATTTAAGGAAAAACAAAAAAGTTGTCTTAGATATGCTTGAGAAATATTGAATGTTTTGAATGGTTGTGAATGAAAGGCTAAACAAATTTATTAAAAGTACATGTTTTCATTTTATTAATATGTATACAAGTATATATAAACAATACTATTTTAAATATTATTGCATTTTTATGCAACAGTTTGCTAATGTCTTACAATCAAACATTGATTTATTTCATTATCAAGTAAACAATCTACTTTTTCATCATTGTGTTACAAAATCGATGGAGTACTCTCTATTTCAAAGTTATTTTATGTAATTATTCATCAAAAATTTCTTTTACTGTACCAAATAAAACAAGTTGATGGATTTTTTGTTGGAATGAGCTGCTTTCAAATCACAGAGGCATGGCTCTTTCTTTATTATTTATAATTATTATTACAGTGATATTCAAAAGATCTGCTTACTTATTTTCATCACAGTTCTACGAACATTTATCAATTAAAACCAGTCTAAGGAATGTTGAGAGCATCATAAAATTGCATATCAAAAGATGTCACTCTTATGACCAGTTGACACTGAAAAAGATACCATCTCCCTGAACTAAATGAACTTTCTTTGCAATAGTGCTCTGCTCTCAACATCATACAAATTTCGTCAAATTAATAAATATCATGAATTCCTAGACTATTCCTATTTAATTACAAAAACGATTTTTCTCCATATATTATATACATATAAATTAATATTGCCAGAAAATATTTTTTCACTGAAAACTATTTCACAAAAATAAAGCTTGTTTTTCATTATATATCAATTAAAAATAGTAAATAGATAAATGGAATTGTGATGGAGGATAGCACAGGGCATTTCAAAGAAAGGATGAAATGCAGACTTATCGCCCTGCCATATAATTGAGTCAAACTCTCTGTGTTAATCTGGTTAGAGTTACTTTATAAATTGCATATACGTTTTGTTTGGTCAGACCTCTGATATGTCTTGTTTTCTCTATTCTGTTCCACACATTCTATTTCACTTTGTTGTTCTTTGGACACAAAACATCCAACAATCAGACATGAAACTCTATACGTCAGTACTACCTTGGATGTTAACTATTAGAATCCGTCTTTTGAGACTCCTAAGTCTCAAATCATATTTAGATGATTAAATTAAAATAACAAATATCTAAACATTAAATCAGATGACCACTTCGAAGCTGCAAACTCATTACTGCATGGGAGATACCCTTCAGATTTTTTGCTACTCAGAAACTTGACCACGAATGACATTCCGGAAACGGCAGCCATTTGGAGGTCCATTCTCGATAGAAAATAGCACATCAGTCCATTTGACGGCAACAATTTGAACACTTCTGAGCGGATTATTTCGAAGGAAAAACAAATGAGAGCCAATGAAAACAAAGTAAACAGACCGCTTCGACAGCTTTCAAAAACTTTGATAGGTGGCACTCTAGATCTAGTCAACCACTTGAGTTTGATCATGAATTTTTTATGGAAACACTGTCAAAGTCGATGTCTCTGGTGAACCTTCCACACTTGTCTTCAAACATTTTCGCTCTTCATCTTTGAAAAACCCTATACATTCGCGATTAATCTAAATTGACAATTAATTAACTGGACTTTCACAAACTGGACTCGTAATTGAATAGGAATCTTAAATATATCACATAATGGATTCAATAAACTTTCCAACAAATTAAAGAACGATGCATACGCTAATGCTACATCTTATTATCTAATAAAACTGATATATCCAGCAGTAATATGGCTTTGCCACACTTGCCGTTTTCTTAACCTAACAATTTTTGCCAAGAAAATTCGATTGAATATGTAAAAAAATAATCACTGAAATTTAGTACAGGTTAGAGTCAAAGAGACAATTTTTTCATATTTGATATTCAGAGTGAAACTTTGATGGTCTCCATAAATTTTCTTTTGGGTTCCTAATATGTAGTCTAGAGAATTTCATTCATTTTATCACACTACAATTCAGCTGGTGAAGCATAGGTAGTGGGTAACTTGATTCAATACAAAAAATGACAAGAAATAAAAAAAAATAGGTGAAATGCACCTTACATATAGGAGGATAATAATGGAGTACGTTTATTTCCTTGATAAACGGCATTATATTGGATGAAGAACTACTTATCTTCTGGATTATTTGATTCTCCAACTGAAATCAAATTCAGATATCCAACTTCCTATGCATATCCATTGCTGATTATTATTTTTATTATAATCTAGTGATATCTGTGAAAATTATATCAGACATGCTGATGTCTCTACCGACTACTATCAAGCATAGATTATACACACTGTATTATCTAAGTCCTGAATGTCTGAACAAACTGGAAGTACTATTTTTATTGCACCAACTACAGTATGGCCGCTATGCCTTCGACACTTCCTTGACAAAACAATTTTACACATTCTTACAAGCTAATATAAAAATGTTTGATATCATATCGATAAAAAATTACCAAGCATACTCGTTATGATTCAACAACAAACACTACAAACTATATCACATATACAGAGTATTCTTTAAACAAGAGTCTTTAATATGTTAGTATTTCTTTTTGAGCCATGGTAGATTGTATTGTCAACTTTTATGTTCACTGAGATTGACCAGTTCCTTAATAAAAAATAATATCAATGCGACGGCTTGCTCTATCGGAGCAAACTAGTATCTTCAGTCTGCTGCAGTGCTACTGACCAACAGCAATGGCTGCACTAAAAAGCCGGTCATATAAAAACTATCCAACAGCTAACCTATCTGGAATGTTTTCCTGAATTGTAATATATACACGAGTTTCACGACCTATTATTGAAAAAAAAAAGTGGCATTGCTACACGGTTCTGACCAACAAATACAAACATTACACATGATGTATTGAATAAATAAAAAGTTACCTCATTCAGCTTCAGGCAGGTATATAATAGGTCTGGGAAAAAATATCGATAACTATCGATTTCTTGTCAATAAATTGGAAACAATTAATTTATTTTATTCATGTGACCCCTAGACGCTTTCGTAATATCTATATAATAATTCTCGTATTTTTTAAACTAATTTTCATTATTTTCAAAGGTTTCTTCAGGCATGAAATTATATCACATAGGTTGATAGGTAGGTTAGGTAGTTTTTATGCTGATTTAATTAGTTTGGTTGAAGATTTTATAACCTTTGGCTTGGATAAAAAATATACTGATATATAATTTCACGAATGTTGATATATAATGTCAAAAATATCGATAGCTATCGTTATATCGCGCAACTCTATTATATAGTATATATTCAACTGATACATATTTATTGCTTTTTTTTTCATAGTTGTAGTCTATGTACTTCAATACTCTCAAGTCCAAGGTTCAATCTTAGTATGAATAATTTTATATATCATCACTATCAATATTATCAATCATTAATTTTTTTTAGTATGAGTATCAATTTCAAAATTATTACCGATCTACGTAGACTCATGAAAAACAAAAAAAAAACGGATATTGCACTGAATGCATATAGATTTTTATCGAACAGTAACATATACAAGGTGGCATTGAAATAAGTGGAAATATTTCAAACACTGAGGAAACTAGACGTGTACTATCGAATGGAACTAATAAAAAAATTTAGGGATCAAAATAAAATTTGAGGTTAGACCCCTTTTTTCCACCCAAAGTTCTACACTGTAGCAAATCTGACGCCACCTCTGTTCAAATTTCCATGCGGTAGCACTATCACACGGAGTTCAATCATTTAAATTGTTTTAAAGTGGCGTCCTTGATTTTTTTCTCGAATTTTGTTCAATTTTAGGGATGAAATTACTTGATAAATAAAAGAATTAGAAAAAATCTGATATCTGAAAATTCCTTAGACAATCATATTAGTGTGCTGAATATGTGCACTAATTTCAAAAACACCTTGTATAGGATAGAAGTATTCGCGAGATTCACGAAGTGGGCGACATCTAGATTACATAAGACGAACTTCAAACTGGCGGAAAACAAACTATTGTCTATGGATATAGTGCATAGATTACATTGCATACATCTTGCTGTAGCTGTAGTTGTCAAACTTGTCAATGACATAATGTGTTATTACTCTTATCAGTACACAAGTTAATGGCACTAATGGGATAGAATGAGGATTGAGTTTATTTACCCCCAGTTTTGACGTGGCTTTGACATGGAACGATGAAAACTGATCGTCACCTGGTGACATTGATTCCCGCGAATTAAGAAAGGATGGCATTTGACATCAGTATGGCAGTCAAGGAGATGCAACGCTCAAAGTCAGACGGTTGGGCGCATAATAAATTCCAGTTTTCATTCTATCATTGTCTGTCTATAATCTGAGATCATTCTGTTCAGATATTCCAGCAGAGACATGTTGTGATTCACATGATTTATGTGTAACTATTGGAAAAACAACTTGTACATGTTCATAAAGTATTTAATTATAATTCTGAGATGTATCCATGTTTGTTGTGAAATTAATGTTGCATGTGTGTTGATCTATAGATTTCAATCAAACATTATAATACTGAGATTCCTTGATATATCATCATAATTATAAACCCATGAAAACTCAAGAAAGCGTATGGGATAGGTTAGATGTCCGGTAGATAGTCTCCTTCCTCAAATCCTCACACTGAAATATCCAATCAACCAGCGCTTTAAAGTGCAATCACCATTGGTCAGCAACAGATTGAAGATACCCGTTTGATCCGTCCACATAATCGACTATCTAGACCGCTAAATGTTATAGCCGAACAACTCGAAAATCTCATCTAAATTGATGGCCCAAAATGTATAGTTTAGTGGAATATATATCCTTCTAAGGTTGATAATATTGAAATAGTTTTCATCCATAAGTTCCAAATGGTAAAAGCCACCAGATCGAAATTTCTTGCATGAGTAACCGTGGGTACCGGTTGGATTTCGTAAATGGATGAGCGGCATTAACGGTCTAGATAGTAAGTTATGCCGGTGGTTTGATTGATGACAATAAGACAAATTCGAGTATCAAATATTGGAAATGGACAGAAAGAGACGGAGACGGGCTCACAGATTCATACCGATGAAACTGAGCAATCTTTCGATGGGCGACCCCGTATAGTGACTAGAAGCGACAAAGATTATAGCTTTTTGGACACGGAAGCGGAAAGCATTCAAAACCGGAGAGAACGCGAAGAGCATTGATTTTTCGAAGGAAATTCAACAGAAACTGTTTCATATTGAATTCGCCATGTATGTGACGGGGAGGATGAGATAATTCAGTGCATCTCGGTACTAGCCAGCGGTACTCCGGCTAGTGCTACAGTCAGGTATTTCACGTGAGTTTGCCAGGTTGAGGAAAGCTGGAAGAATTTCACCCCACCGAATTCCACTCCATCAATGTATACTAGAAAAAGTTAGAGAATAATAATAAGTTCCGAGTAGATTAATAGTAGTAGTACTATGAGTACTAAAAAATATTCGGGTACGATAACTTGTCAACTGTCAAACTGACACTATTGCTAATTATACAACAAGTTCTCGATGTATATAGTTCTGAATGAACGTCAAAATTTCAACGACGCGCTTTGTTCGTATATAACAATATAAATGGAAATGGAAATAATAATTCTGAATTTCTGATTGGTGGAGTTACTATATGTATATCCATATGTATATCCATATATTTATGTATATTCGAAATTATACAAGGCAGCTTGACTCAATTGCTGATTGGTTTAAAATCATAGGAAGAAAATAATCGCGAAAATATTTGTTTGAACGGTGAATTTATTGGGTAAGTTCATGTTTCCAGTTATCACTCAGTAGCTGAACAGGAATAGTTATATCTTGCTGAAAGAACATGTTTGTAATTAAAAACTAATGAAAATGATGAATATTGCCTATGCAACCTTTTACTTTGGGTGAGATAACTTGACAACTGTTCATTTCAGCTCGTATTGAGGATCTCATGTTTCTACCTCATCCTTCATCAACTACGAGGGCTAGCTCCTATGAAGCATACTCGATTGAATTTTGACACACCCTGTATAGCTATTTGAAGTCGCCGGTGAAACATTGCAGGCAAATGTGAACACACTCTGTACACAAAAATGATACAATAGGAATAAATAGGCACTAACCTTTCATGGGGGTATTGTGAGAAGCACGCGCAGAACATATCAGCCTCAGTACTCCCTCCACATTTTGACTGCGAGGCTCCATCTCCTTTTCTTTCTCCTTTTTTTTGCCCAATCTCATAACTATATAGATCAGGAAAATAATATAAATAATAGTGAAACTTCATCTGATTTGTTCATGCTTGAACCACACTTTTTTAATAAACTGTTCTTCCAACCTACAAAATTAAAACTTCACCTAAGAGAAGTGTTCACTAAGGAACCTACTAACATGTGATAACTTTCCATTACAAAAACTCAAAGATCAATTATTGTAGGAATCTGCTTACTTTTTTGTTTTTTCTCCTTGTTGGCCAAATGCACGGTGAGGTTCAACCCTGAAGTGGTAGTAGGGGAGGCCTGCAGGCCCCTGAACAGTGCCTTGAGGGACGTCTTTCCGTCCTGCTTGACCTTGTCTTTGTCAGTCTTTAAAGCACTGTCGCCAGCTTTCGGCACCTATATATTAATTATTTTACTCCGAAGAACTTGTCAACTTGGTAATAAAATTAAGGTGATTTATTCATATTCATCTTGAATCTAATTTGAAATCATACATGGCGTAGTCGGTAGGATCAATATATTCTAGCTTAATGTTAGGCCATACATTTAATATATTGCGGTACACTTGCATTTTTGATAAATTGTTCAGGTTCTCTTAAACAATATCTGTCCAGATTTGCAGCACTCTAAAATGTACGCGGGTCAAGTTATTGCCGGAAAACTACATTTATTCACTTTTTTCAAAAAACACATGCCAAGGCTCTGACGAGAAAGGTCACTATTACTAATTCTCAAGTATGCCTAATTCCCGACAGTTCGTATAATGATTAAAATTGAAAATTCCTCCTCAGAATCAGACTTCATATCGTTCAGACACTATTGCGAATTTGAACAGGATCTGACAACACCACATTGTTTTCGTTTTGCGTGTCGCATTAGCAACGACCCGTGTGTCTTCACCCTTACCTGCCAATAGTCCACCTGCAACTCGAGTGGTTCCCAGGGCGACTCGCGAGCCTGCACGTTCGGAGACGAAGGGGGCGTCAGCGAAGGGGCAGGCGGACTGGAGCAGATCAAGTCGTCGAGGTCGACGGAGACGGACTGGTATTGGTCGGCGGGACCGACTCTCACCTCCTACGAACAAAAAGATGGAATTTGTCGAAGCGACCTTATGACTGCGCCAAGGTCGCTAGGCAGAGGGCACAACAACTAGCGAATACCACCCCTTCCACAGCGTAACTAGACGAGTATATTGTGACTCAATCCTAGTGAGGTTACAGTTAACTGTACAATTCAGTTCTTTGCAAGGTTCATGGTTGAATGAGGTGGGATTTTCCGGAAATCGGTATGTTCTAATTTGATGACAACAAAATATTACCTCCAGCTTGCTTCCTTTTTTTTTTTGATCTCATACACCTCCTCATATTCCGAAAAGCGTATTTCACTGGATTGCACTGACCCGGTATCGATGCATATTTAGCACTGCACTGACTTCGGACAGAATTCGATAATTCGAATTATTCCTGCACTGTATGGATGAATTTTTGACATTATCAATATTCGACTGGTATGTTTATGACAACGTGCTGTTAAATCCTAAAGCTGGATCAAGCTGGATCTAATGAGAGATCTTACTTCAAAATTGACAAATTTTCAAATCATTCCTTGAATTCCGAAGTATGGAGAGAAGAATATTATTTGCGGCAGAAAAAGTATGGAGATATTTTGTGAATAATCAGAGGTTTTGGATGGTTTGTTTATATAGTAGGTAGAATGCAATTTTGTCATTTACTAGAAATACTTTGTATTCCAATATTTTATTACATTCCCTGCGATGCGCGTGGAGCTTTAATTTTCACAAGCGGGAGGAAATGGATACCTTTGCTCCCTTGGTATATAATTAGCTATTATTACCAAGGTGTATATTATATTTTTTGTTTCCCAAACATTGAAGTTTCACAAAACTGAAGAGATTCCCTGTGATGATTAGAAACGGTGGCCCTAAACCTGTCTGCAGGTGGTTAGGCATCAATTCAAGCTTGGGATAGGAACATTTACATTTATCTGTTTATATGAATCATTGCATAGATTTTGGAAGACTGTGGCCAGAGAGATAGTTGGTCATAGTTCCTGATATAAATGTTCATATTATGGAATATTTTGTGTAAATTACATTTACAAACAGTATTTGTTTATATGAATCATTGCAAAGATTTTGGAATACTGTGGCCAGAGAGATAGTTGGTTATAGTTCCTGATATCAATGTTCATATCATGATATATTTTGTGTAAATTACTGACTTTTCTCTCACTGTCTCAAGACTGGCTACCATTATTTTTGTAGAAATTCAGAAAAATAATAACTGAAGAACAACTCATAAGTATATGCTATAAGGAAATCCAACTCGGGGTAGAATCAATATGGCGCCTATTTGGCGCCGTATATGAAGACAATAAAAAAATGCGTCCATTGCAATTAAGATGTTCCATTTCGAGATTTTCTGTGATTATTGTAGTTGTCCTCTTGATAGGAACAGAGATTCACGCCTGAAAACATTAACTGCCGTTGGATTTCCTTTCAATATTAGGTTGGCAATCTGTTCAATCCAGAAATGGAGGTTAAAGTTCAAATATCTTTACTACTATTTGCTATGAATATTCATTGAGAAGATGATTGATTGATTCTTCATAAGTTCTGCCTAGTTCTTTTCTGGAATGATTCCTTAAGAAACTTTCTCGGCAGCAGATGTCGGCGTGATCTGGAGTATTAATAGATATCTTGAATTAAAAATATAATGTATGCATGTTGACAGGCGTTCTTAGTTGTTTACCGGTACACTAAAACATTATCAAACCTTTGAGCGAAAATAAATTGATCAAACTATCAACTGGAAATCAAATGAACGAATATGGAGAAATTATCGAGCTCGTCATTACCTAATCAGATATCTTTGGAATACCAACTGAACACCCAACTGCTGTAGAATTGAAATACGAAAAATTAATACATATATTCTCATACACTCACACTGACGAACGGAATGAACAGCTGACTGTTCTCGTCGTGACAAGTGAGCATCGCCTCCCCGACGGGCATGTGAGCCAACGGAGCACTAGGAGGCCCCGCCAGATATCTCAGCACTCGCTGGGACAGCTCTTCGATCTTCAGTTCTTGGTCGCTGGGAAACAGCGATTGGTAACCTGGGTCTAGAGTAGAAAGTTGCCTGGAAAAAACATCGACATTTTCTAGAAATCATTGGTGCATTTTTACCCGATTAGTAGGTCCTAATAATGATTTTCCAAATAGGTCATGACATCATAGTCGACATGTCATCCTTTATGAAGACATTATCAGGACTATAACAAGAGTTTTTCCCTCAAGAGTAACTTTCTTTAGACCGTAAACAGTGGAGTACAATAAATCAAGTTATAATTCGTGAAAGTCAGTCTATCACCAATAAACACATTTACAGAAAACACGATTTATTATTTGCATAGAATATATCGATGGCGTCCTCACGATTTTCTTCCTATCATTCCGCAGGATTATCCCCACCATTCACTATTCCATTCATTAATTAGTGTTTGGCGTTAAGGCATTCAGGATTATTTTCAATAACATTTCCGTAAAATAATAATGAATCCTTGTCTATGTATCGTTGACAAAAACATTGATATCAAAATTGACATAAAAGGAATTACACTAACATTGAAGTACTCCAAGACACATTCACGAAGACGATAATACGAAAGTTAATTTGTTTTGTCTACCAGTGAATGTTTCTTGCTATACCTACTTCAATGTTCATATCACCAAGTATCACCAAATAGTTTTATATACATTATAATATTGTCAGGAAAGGATATTTTCCAAATTATTGTCAAATATTACGATTACTGTTATTATTATTTCACTGTTCTGATTTATCGAGTTTATTATATTTCTCAGCAATTCAACTGTCCTCGTTCGTAACAAAAAATTGTTCAATGAAATAATCGACACCAAGGGGGACTTTACTTTTGGTCCGAATAGCGGACGGTTGCTGGTGGCAACGGAGATGTCCGAATTGGGACATCCTCGAGTTTTGTTAGATTATTGTAAGTACCATTTTGATTATTTATTCAGTCGTCAACCTAATGCCTCTTCAAGGAATGTCAAAATTATTTGTTTTTGTTGTTCAATCTGTAGCCCTTTTATTGAATATAAATCCTCAGCAAATCTCAACTAGCAAAGAAAATAAGTCACATTTGTGACAATATCAATGCTAGTGAATTAGGAAGAACTCAAGTTATACAGTGGAGGCTTTCAAATACACACACTTGCACAATTAGGAGAACGGGCAAAATTTACACTAAATTTGACATCAATTTTCTTTGGAACCGATCGCTCGATTCAAATTTTTTTCTTCACGAAATGTAGCTTCATTCTTCACGAATACATCTGAGAAATAATTACCTTCAAACGATGAGTCTTTCCATCATATACAGGGGTGTAAAGAAAGTACGGATTTTTCGGTATTTTTTTAGACATCCTGTGGACTGAACCACTGATAATTGAAACGATTTCTCAACACCAAATTGGAGCCCAATCTATTCCGAATATTTTCGTTTTTTATTCATCTTGATATCTCAATTATTCAAGAAAATACAGAGTTTCAAAGGAAAGGTGGATATTGGTATCAATTTTACACCTCAAAACTCAAATTGGATCTGAAAATGTGTCGTTTCTTGACTAACCTAACCTAACCATGACTAAACCTCTGCCATAGGAGACAAGAGCAGTTAAATAAATCAAATTGTTCATTTTGTTCACCTCGGCGATATAGTATTTCCCTGCCATCTATTGAATTGGTGCAGATGCGCGGCTCTCATATGTTAAAAGAACATTGACCCACTAGTCATTTTCAATTAATGCTACAGCCCTCGCCACATCAGTATAGGAGTCAAATCTCTCACGTTGAATTTTCATTAATCAAATTTATGAATTGTGAATCGCTTGACTTTGACAATAATTAATAACATCAACAAAATAGCCAACGTTGATTAACAAAAATAGCATTTCACCAAAAGAACATTGGAGCAACTTTTATCACCCCTGCATATTCATGAGAGTTTTCGTATATGTGTCTTTAAGCAGTAAGCTGATAGGTAAAACTGTGAACAATTCTCATCTTGAAGTAAAAATCCTCACAGAAACAAGTTGAAAAACGACCCGTTCTCCCCAGTTCGAGTTTCGAGGTGGTAAAATGAATACCAATATCCACCTCTTCTTTGAAACTCTATATTTTCTTGGATAATTGGGATATCAAGATGAATAAAAAACGAGAATATTCGGGATAGATTGGGCTATAATTTGGTGTTGGAAAATCGTTTCAATTATCAGTGGTTCACTCCACAGGATGTCTTAAAGAATACCGAAAAATCCGAGGAAAAATCCGTACTTTCTTTACACCCCTGTATATGATATAAAGACGAATCGTTTGGAGGTGGTTATTTCTCAGATGTATTCGTGAAGAATGAAGCTACAATTCGTGAAAAACAAATTTGAATCGAGTGATCGGTTCGAGAGAAAATTGATGTCAAACTTAGTGTAAATTTGACCCGTTCCCCTAATTGTGCCAGTGTGTGTAGTATACCAAACAACGAAACGTCGACTCTGGAAGTAGTTTTTCTTCAATGTCACAACCAACTTAGACTAAATTGTGGTGCAAATTAGATGCTCACCTGGATATGTTGCAGCTCCCCAAAGGGACGATATAGACGCGAGTGTACGAGAGCCATTCGGACGTTTTGCTGGAGAGGAGTTCCACGTAGGGACGGACGAACCATCCTATCAGGGTGTCTCCGCCTATCAGCAGGAGTTTGATGGACGTACCGGGTTTGGCACAACTGTTGCAGCTGAAAAATAAATAATTCAATGAATCTTCCAGACAAAATGAATGAGACAACATATCTGGACTTTGTATAATGAAATGAGATTCAACAAATCATCAGGTTTGTATGAATTTCTAGCTGTTTCTCAAAAATCGGAACAGAAAATGATTGTTTTCATGTTCATGCAAAAAACAAACCTTTATAGAGCATTATTTTTACCATCCAGTGACTTTACTAAAAGTAGTTCAATAGAGCAGTTCAGCTACCGTTGAGAGAGAAAAAAAATGTCTTCCGCATCTGTCCTTATCTTCAGTGTTCCAACATAAAATAATGAAAATATTATGTTGGCATCATTGGAAATGGGAAAAAATGGAGAAGAATATCATATTAACCTCGATATAAAAGAAGGTTAGAACGGTCTTCTTCTCCATTTCTTCTCATTTCCAGTGTTGGCAACATGAGATTTTCATTATTTCATGTTGGAACACTGAAGACAAGGACAGATGGGAAGACATTTTTTTTCTCTCTCAACGGTAGCTGAACTGCTCTATTGAACTACTTTTAGTAAAGTCACTGGATGGTAAAAATAATGTTTGAATTAGATAGTTCCTAATATATTAGTTCCAAACTCTTTTGATAGTGCTAATTAATTATTGAATATTTTGCTATTCAATAATTCTTTTTATTTGTATACACCGACTCGGAATAATTTTCAAAATATCCATGAGCTCGAAAAAACTTCCGGAAATAATTTGACATCTAGTGGTATTACAAATGAAAATTCATCGAAATAAAACTTCTCCATTAATGAAACAGGTACTCACTACTTGTGGATTTTGTTGAAAAGTGTGGTCAGTACAGCCTTGGTTTCTACGGCGGACAAGGGTTGGAACACCTTGTGCTGTGGACCGAACCTCACACTCAGAGGAACCGTAACGCTGTCGGGACCGGACAGAAACACGACGCTCTCTGGAAGGATGTTCTCTTCGGGAGACAATACCTTGCACACCAACTCCAAGAACACTTTTCGAGGCTAGAAAAAAATCGAGTGATGTGGATAAACCTAGGGTCCCTTGATGGAAATTGACATTAAAGTCATCTCAACAGGGTACGGACAGATCATAGCTGCATTCTTTTTTAATGATCTAGAGACTTTAGTTTTGTCTACTGGCATCCCTGACATTGCTGTCACGTCACATCCATGGGCGCTACAGAAAATCATTTGAAATTTTAATAATAGGTATGTACAGGGTATTTAATTGTTGAGGAAGATCATATGGCGAACAAGTTTTGTGATGAAGATCTGATTATATTCAAAATTGATATCTGAGGGTTTTCGGGGTAAGAGATAATGATTGTTTCGTCAAAATTAGAAAATCCAAGATGGCGACGGATCCAATATGGCGAAAGACATTAGTTTATATAATTACTATACTTTATCACAAATAGTAAATATGTAGGATGCAAGAGTGAAAATAACGTGCCTATAAGTTATACTGCCTATACCTACTTGTTTGTTACTTTCATCAATAAATTATTCGAAAATAACTTTGTATTTAAGGAAGACGGAACAATCATATGTATAACATGGGAGTGAGGTATATTCTATTCTTTATCTCCCTGCACATTTTATGTATTACTTTTTATCAGCCTACTTTTCGCTCTAGACGAAGTTTTATACATAGTTTATATTAGTCACTCCATAAATTCTTCGAGTTGGATTTCCGAAAATATATTTAGCACACATTACATGAGTACAGTAGTTTAGATATTAACATCGAGGTTTTCACCATTTCTCAATCATAAGGGTCAGCTCATTCAGCTCATAGATAAACTACTGCTCAGTTTGAAATCAGAATTCAGTCAGTCAATTCAGTCAACCCTTGTATACAGTCTAAGAACAGTCTCTTTTGGTGAAATATATTGAGCTTTCAGTAAAATTCATATGTTCCCTTAGCTACTTCTCAAAAATTATGCTGGAGTATAGTAAACTCTAAAACTAGAGGATTGTTCATCTATATTTTGGTATAGTTGAATCAGGAATTCCATATGAAAATTATGTATGATACGCCAGTGACCTCAGTATAACCTAAAAAACAACAAATGCCAAAAATCTGGTGTTTATCCCCAGAAATGAATAAAGATGGAACTATATAACTGTTTCACAAACACTTTAGAGTGAGAGGAGACGAGGATCTGTCCGTACCCTGTTAAGATGACAAATACGTCAGTTTACATCAAGGGACCCTAGATAAACCATAATTGTGGCCAGCGTAGTCTCTCTCAAATGAACTATTATAGAATTATTACTCAAATATAGTATTGGGTTTCTGATGTCTAGAATGGGATGTCAGATTATTATGCCATCCAACTGTCATTATAACTCTATTACTCGATTCATCACAATAATGTCTGTCATTAAATGTTGAAAATCGAGTAAGCAATGTATGAATGACTTCATAGTTGTAGATAAATATATTTATTGTATAATAACACCAATAAACGATTGATTGATTGATCGATTGATTGAAATGCCTATCTATCATTATTCCTAAATATTTAAAGTTTTCAACAGATGTGATTGTAGGTTATTGGGTAATGACAGATGGCTGAAATTTGGCAATGTATTTTCATAAATGAAATGTGAAGCCAATAAAATCAATGAACTGTATGTAAACAACTGGAAGGGACCCACTGTAAACAACGACGAGTGAGGCAAAAATAATTTTCAGGCAACCCGCAGTGTTTACGGATACCTATCTCTATCTTGTGTTGGCTAATGGGAAGCGCTCGCATAATTTGAAATATTTTCTCGTTTTTTGCTTCTATTTAAGAGAAAACGTGATTAAATAAAAATATTCATTTAGGAAAATGGATAATGTTGAAATCAATTATCAATAAAAAATTATTACTGATTTGTTTATTGACTTTAAAATGAAATTTCAATATTACTCTTACAGGATCAGGAAGTCAAATGAATACAAAATTGAAATTATATATTTTTATTCAAATTTCACAATATATTGTACAGGGTGAGCGAAGCACAATGTCTCAGAACTATCAGAAGGATAAGAAAAACGATAGGAAAAATTTGAAAAGAGGTTCTGAATGGTATTGATGAGTGCATTTTGAGCATAATTTCCATAGGTTCCCATTCCTCCATTAGGTCACTCATTGATTGTCATTACTATACCCACTGTTGGAAATTGATTGAACTACTTTATTCTTTCATGTTTGAAATTTTTAGGTCTCTCCTTTTTACTTTTTGTCTCAGTGTGTTCACTTTTCTCCTCAATACAATATCCTTCTCTAATGAAACAGTTGTGTTTCTTTATTGATCAACTTCGAAACTTGGGAGCTGGAAATGGTAGGCAAGTCAAAGTCAATAACATGGGAAACTTCTTCCTTTGGACCCAAGTTATGAACGTCCACAGATGCATCCTGAAAACAAATTACTAGCTAGTTTTTTTATTTTAAATAGGTGCAAACATACTTTTTTTCATTATTAATCAACTAGGTACCTATGAGTTTTCTTATTTTCCTGGGGGAATCAGCATTTTTTGGTAACAAATGCTGAGGAAATGAAAATATACTGGGTACAGCATCTGCTTTCAAAAACCTAGCAGTACCTGGTATGCCTGAATAATCTGTTGGCAGGAAATGCTCCCCACAAAGCTTGCTGCTTTTAGTTGGAGTCCAATTCTCACTAGGAACTGCCTTTATCCATAATTCGAGAATGTCTGGTCTTTTGAATGGAAAACTGCAATAAATAATATTACTCAATATCAAAATGGAAGTATTTAACTCTGACAAATAATATAGGTATAGTTTTTGAACATATTCTGAGACTGGACATTGTAAACCTAACTGATGATCATTTCATGAACTATATTTTTCAAAAATCTGAGAACAATATTCAACTTACCCATGGAATGCTAATTTCCTTTTGTTTTGTTCATTCTTCTTGCATCCAAAGGCGACACAATAAATCACCATTGTTTATCAATACTAACCACAAACCTTCTCAACAATCAGTTCAGTGTTCACAACAACAAATTCAGTCCTTTTGTTACAACAAAACACGCCAAATGAATAGATATTTCACCTCGTATTTCACATGAACTAAGACAATGAACTTATGTCTTCACTTTCTTGCCTGTGTAGATGACAGAAAAAATTCTTTACTACTTTAATTATTAGATAAAAGAAAATTTATACACCAATCCACCATTAAACAACACGAGTTGGAAGAGGACAGGTATCCGTAAATCATGCTATCTTTGTTGCAGCTGCCCCTGACACACTTTGTGCTATTCGAGAGAACGATCGTATCCCTTTCAGTTGTATTGAGTTCATTGAATAAAATAGTGTTGAAAACAAATTCGAAAACTTACCGTGACCGCCTCGACGGGCGGGTCGACCCCAGCGCTAGGCGAGCATTTCTTCTTGGCCGCCGCGGCCGCCGACCGGAACAGCTTCGACTTGCGCTCGCTCAGCTCCTGCACGATGGCCGACAGCTCGCCGTCCCCGGCCGGCCTGCCACGTCCGCCCCCGCCGCCTCCCCCGCCCCCAGCCTGCTCGCGCGGCGGCGACCCCGTCGGCGGGTCGCTGTGCGCCTCGGGGTCGGTGAAGCAGACGTCCGCGTTGCCGTCGGAGCCTGCAACAAGAGAAAAGAAGTAGTAGATTTTAGCTCCAGGTTGTGAGCTAAAATCAAATACATATTTTTCCCGTGTATAATACACTATTTTTTTCTGTGACAGAAGAAAGGACGAATCAATATTGAGTAGGTATTACATTATTTTGAAATCTGAAAATTATCGACGTGAAATTTCAAGTTTTTAACAGTAGGGATACCTGCGTTTTATAGGCATCTTTATCATTCTTTTGAAGTAATCAAATATCTGATGTAACTTCTGTCAGTCTAATTCTGTGATTTGATTTCAAGAAATTGCGAATTTAGTGGTTGTTTAGTAACCGTAACCGTGAAGTCGAATGGAAGATGAAAGGATTTGCAGTTCTTTCTCGGAGACGGTATTATTGACTCATTTTTCGGAACTATAGCACAACAAAAGCCATCAACAGTGTATATACAGGGTGTTTCATAATTGAATGTCAATATTCGAGGAGGCGATTCTTGGGCTCATTCTAAGAAGAAAGTTTCATATGAACGTATGACCTAAACGTCCCAACTTTGGAGATACAGGGTGGTAAAATTCTCGAAAATTAATATAGCCTACTACAATGAGAAGTTATAATTCGAAAATACCAAATACGAATACAAAGTTCATGAACTATGAATTGTATTTCTGAAATTTGATCTTAAAAATAAAAACTATTTCTCTGCATTGTGATATTATCATATTAACAATATTACTATAATCATGTAGTGAAAAGCTTTTTATTTTTAAGCGAAAACCGTGCATCAGATTGAAAAAATTGTAGTGATCAAATTTGCTTAGAAATGATCGGGAATTTCAGGAATGATTTCAATTTGGAGATTAATCAGTGGCGTACCATCAATGTCTGCCAAAATAGGTATGTGAAATTCCATACGAACGCCACTGGTGGCAACAACAAAAAATGTGGTACGCTAACTGATGCCTCTTGATACATAGTACATGTATGCCAAATTTCATCAGAATATCTGAAGTGGTATTACAGATATTAATAAAAAACTATTAATTTTTGAGAACTTTACCACCCTGTATCTCAAAAGTTAGGATGTTTAGGTCATACGTTCATATGAAACTTTCTTCTTAGAATGGGCCCAAGAATTGCGTCCCCAAATATTGACATTCAATTATGAAACACCCTGTATATGTGATATACAGTGTGTCCCACTTACCATGCTCACCATGGGTATCTTTTTAACGGTGAGAGATACGAGGTCGGTTAAATGACACCAAATGTGGAGTTTGTCAAGGCCAACTATAATGTGAAAAAATATTTTGATAAAATATATTGGTTTTTGTTTTATACGCAAAAAACAGATTTTGATCATTTTCATGTCTCCTCCGTAACTTCTTTATTTATGAAAATATTCAAATAGGAATTTCACATTCTCATGGCAGTTTTTCAAAATGATTTCGAAAAAAATATGAAATTTATACCAAGTCTTCTAATATTTGTGATATCAGCACCAACTTTAGTTTTTCAAATGTAGGTCATAGCTCACTATGACTTAGTTACAAATAACTTTTTTTTTCTCTTAAAGATGATATGGCGCAGTAATAGTTTTGTGTTGATAACAACGGAGTTATCGTCATTTATACAAAAACAAAAAATTATTCGGAAGCCGCCATCTTGAATTTATGAATTTTAACAAGAAAATCATGATCTCCGACCTCAAAAACCCCCACTTACCAATTTTGAATGGAATCGGACCAAATCTTGTCCGCCATCTCGGAGCAGTCATTTTTTTCAATTTCAACAAAAATTCCATAATGTATTGTCACCGAAATTATGAACACCTGCCAAATTTCAAGTTAATCGGAGTTATGGAATTTTTGTTGAAATTTAAAAAAATGGCTGCTCCAAGATGGCGGACAAGATTTGGTCCGATTACATTCAAAATTGGTATGTAGGGGTTTTTGAGGTCGGAGATCATGATTTTTTGTTAAAATTTATGAATTCAAGATGGCATCCAAATAATTTTTTGTTTTTGTATAAATGACGATAACTCCGTTGTTATCAACACAAAACTATTACTGCGACATATCATCTGTGAGAGAAAAAAAAGTTATTTGTAACTAAGTCATAGTGAGCTATGACTTACATTTGAAAAACTAAAGTTGGTGCTGATATCTCAAATTTTAGAAGAGTTGGTTTAAATTTCATATTTTTTTCGAAATCATTTTGAAAAACTGCCATGAGAATGTGAAGTTCCTATTTGAATATTTTCATACAGGGTGTTCCATTTAAAAAAACATATGTTTGCTCCATAACTAAAAAACAAAAGGTGCTAGCAAAAAAATAACTACGCCACTGGATTCTACGAGAAAAACTCTATAAAAACAAGTTTTAACTTCTTCGATAAGTTCAAAGATAACTGAGACACGGAGGGTGCCTGAAAAGTGATATTTTTCAATTCCACCCTGTATCTCGACAACCGGAAGAGCTATCACAATTCTGCTTGCGCCATTATTAATTTCATAAAAAAGTAGCACACTGTCGCGAAAACCGCAATGCTCTATCTTTACTGATAAGGGAGATACCCCGCAAAAGTGCCCAAATTGGGATACCCTGTACAACAGCACAATGCGGGAAGCATGCTTGAATTAATGAATAGCGCAAAAAACGCGATTCGTATGCCAAAATACTGTGAAAAACTATTTCAATCTTCTGATTCCTCTGTAAACAAATAAAAAAGTGAGGTTGTGTTTCAATAATTCACAGAAAAGTGAGGTTGTGTTTAAATATTTTACCTCGAGGGTCGGTCATCATGCACACGACCTATTCTAACGACCGAAGTCTTCCTGCCAGTATACCGGGTGACACAGGAGACATGTGACATCCTGTAGTTTTTTTATTTGAAGAGATGAAAATTTGAGATTCACAAGGGTTATATTATCGAATGTACCGAATGACAATTTTCTTCAACCACCTGTTTGATTGGACCCAACTCTTTTTTTTTTTTTTTTTTTTTTTCGAACGGCACCCTGTATATTCTGTATCTATTTCTATATCTTATATGCCTTGAAATTCTCTATTCAATGATGCATCACAATTTGATATTCGTTCATTAATTGACTGTTAAACTGCATTTTATTGAAATACATGAAGTTGGCTGTGACCCGAATACAATAACATTTTGATGCTTGATAGTGATAGGCTTAGAAATCCAAAGATCATTACTTAGATCTTAGACCATAATCGGTCACGAAAGATTGCCAATAATTTCATTTGTTTGTATTGGGATATTCTTGAATCCTGTTATGTTTTTGATTTGCAGACTTTTTCTTGGGGTTTGGATTCGGTTTCATAAATAATCCTCGAATTATTCATGAAACCGAATCCAAACCCCAAGAAAAAGTCTGCAAATCAATAATTTCATGGAGTTTAGAAAAATCATTCGAAAATAACTCACGATATTGAGAAAACTAAGAGAAACGGTTTTCGCATTTGTTTTTTTCCAATCAACTGACAATATTATACCTCTCCTCTACTAACTAGCTAGCTTTTTCATTTAGATCAACAATGGATATGCTATTCATAGACAAGTTCACAAATGAACTTAGTTGAATTATCCCCTAGATTCACAATCAGCATGATTTACGAGAAAATGATGTGATCTTATGTATTATTTTAATGTATGTATGTAAATGAATCATTATTATTATTATTATGTTCATTATTATTATCATTATAATTGTCACCTGAGCACGTCCTCTCCTCGTGCCTGTCGGCCTCCACGAAAGGCACCGCCCCGCTGTCCAGCAAACTCCTGCTGGAGCTGAAGAACGGCCGCAGGCTCGGCTTCGGCGTGCTGGTGATCGACATGGTGTCCTGCTCGCCCCCGGAATCCTCGTCGCAGCTCAGTGACTCGAGCTCCTGGAACAGCGCCTGGATGTCGCTCGGGTTGTCCAAACAGTCTCTCACTCGGCCACCTAGAAAAACAAAGGAAATAACGAAAAATTGACAGCGAATGGCAAACACGGTTGGTGTGTTGGTTGTAGAATGAGGAATTTGTGCGGAATATATGTAGGACAAACAAGAAGATCAGATGTATCAAGTATCGTGGAACATGAGATGTTCAACGCCGCTGAAATCCAACAAACTTCTGCTAGAGTGTTGTCCATACAGTTATTCACTTGATCTCCTAGACTAGAAGAATATTGAGATAATGTCAAACACGGCTGATTTTCTAAGTTTTGTAGAATATAATACAATAAAAATTAAAAAGCCATCATTATACGAATATCAAGCCTCAAACCTAATAGAAAAACGAAAGAATGACAATGAATGGCAAACATGGCTGGTTCATTATTTGAGATACGGGGGAATTTGTGCGAAACATTTGTAGGGCAAACAAAGATATTGGATGAATCAAGTATCATGGAACATAAGATGTTCAACGCCGCCGCTATCCAACAAACTCCTGCTCATACCATCAGAGTCCGGCACCCAGAACCTCTTCAACAGCAACACGAAACGCTGCTTGAGGTTGTCCGGCATCTTCCACATCGCCTCACTGTCCCAACAAATCGACGCGATTCGATTCATCCATTGAACATGTCAATGGCATGCCCTCGATCCTCTCTTCATGATTCCACAGATCCATCCCAACCTATATACTATCATCTTCTTCGTGATTCATGAATGACAAAACATACCTTACTGAGCATATTTTCTAAAATCATTGAGAAAAATTATAAAGCAACGAATTGTGAATTTCATCAACATAAAATATAGCTTCGATATAAATCAGTTTGGTTTTCAAGAAAATAGTGGCACTCAAGCGGCAGTATTACAAGTGATAGAAGCAATTCAAAAAGGAATAGTAGCTGTTTACATTGATCTATAAAAGGCTTTTGATACAGTGGACCACACAATACTTCTGGATAGCTTGGAATTCATGGGACTCAAGAGGCATTGTGAGAAATATTTGAGCTTCATATCTTGAAAATAGGAAAATCAGTAACAAATCTGCTAATGGGCTTATATCACAAAAAAATGTTATTTCATAATTCGATAGAACTCACCCAAACTAGCTCACCACCGCAAACCGTTTCTTGCTGTGAGCTCCCTATGTTATATAAAAAATTATTGAAGCCCCGATTTTTCGGACCTCTGAAAACGAGGCGATGATGTGACGTCAAAACCCCAATACTGAAACAAGACTATTCCAGACAGAGATGAATGATACATGATTTCTGACAGAGTGAATTAGCGCGAGATCACAGTTGAAAGGATTAATATATCAGTTGCCTCAGTTTCCGTCGGGCGTTTGGTATTTTCTTTTAACTATGGCGAGATGAGGTTTCTACGTCATAAGAGGGTCCGTTTGCAGAAGGTACTATTATTTATGTCCAAAAATAAAACATTCCAGTTAATTTTTCGATCGAATTATGTCGTCAATCATTATTTATGTATAAAAGAATCATTATAAACATGGTTTGATTTAAAAGTTCTACTATCTCTCACAAACAGGTTATATAACTGCACTGGAATAAAACTCATTTCGGATATCAAATCCTCATCAGTAACCTGAAGTCCAGTTATTCTTTCAGCCGTTCTTCATGATATACACAATGTTCATCTCCCTATAATATAACTAAAACTACAACGAACTGACATCTCAGAAAAATACCTTCAGAGTCCGGCACCCGGAACCTCCTCAACAGCGACACGAACCGCTGCTTGAGGTTGTGCCTGGCGTGCGGCATCTTCCGCATTGGCTCGCTGTCCGACAAGTCGACCGCCTCCTCCTCCCCCGAGCTGATCTCGTCGTCGTCGTCGCTGTAGTCGTGCTCTGCCGCGCCCAGTTTGTGCTCGTGGTCGACGGGCGTGGAGGTCAGCTGGAGAAGGGAGAGGCGGGCAAGGGGGCCGGCGGCCTGTTTGCCGTCCTTGCCGTTGGGGTCGGGCATCAGGTCCAGCTCGATGTCCATCTGCTTCTGCAGCACCTGGAAGACATATTTCATTTCGATAGATCGAATGGACGAGGCCGAAGGGACAGGATGAATAAAAATCACAGAGAAGCCACTTAACAGGCAGGAAATTGGTAATCAAAATTGACACTGACATTGGGTGAACACAAAATGATGGAGTTCTCAATAAAAAAATTACACAAAATTGGTTTTATAACGTTTGGAGAAAAATATGTGCGTCACACGGCAGCAAATGTAGATTGACTCAGCCGCGGCTGTCAATCTACTACTTTGCTGCCTAGTATAACAAATAACTATTGTTTGACCGTCACGATTCCTGTTACATCGGCCTCAGTGGTCGTTTTCGACTCTGAAGAGAATCAATACTTGCGGAATACAATGTCGGATGGTCATTTGAATAATATTAGTAAGATATACAGTCTGTCCAAGATAAGGTTGCACAGCATGGGGATCTCGGAAACGGTCGGCGATGCGAAGTCGGTTAAATGGGTGATAAATTGCGCATTCAGAGGCTCATACCAACAGCCGTCGAAAATTTTCAAAATTATCTTCAGTTTTTCAGTTATATCGAAAAAAGTGATTTCTTTCGTTATTATTAGATACAAAAAAATTGAAAATCATTTTTCAAAGCAATATTTGATGACGTTCAACGTGGTGATACCGATTTCTTTATGCGACGTTTCGTATTCATAGAAACATTAACTTTCGTTTTCTAAATTCGGTCCTCATAATTTTTTCACAGATTCTGAAAGCTTTTTTTATTCTGAATTCAACCATGTATTATACAAGGTTATTTGAATGTGTTTCGACCTATTTTTATACATCATTAATTTTTTTTCGAAATTCCAAAGGAAAAATGCCATCAGTTCCACTTATTTCTGATCATTTAGTGTCAAACATTGATGTGAACGGCGATCTATACTGAGTCGAGTGCTGAGATCCATTTATACCTACTTCCGTATGTCTTGGAGAACTTTTATTATTTATCCTAACTGAAATCAGCTGTTATTGTTGCCATATCATTTGTTAATTTATTAATTATTTAATGCCTACCACTCTTGTACAAGTGAAATTGTTCCATACGAAATAAAAGTATGTTTCATTGGTTGAAATTCATCAGTTTTTACCAAATTTTGAACTTTATTGATAAAAAAATATTCAACTGAACGTATATATACAGGGTGGGTCACGGTAGATGGCACCTTAGACGTTTACGGAGAACGGGACATAAGATCATTCTGAAAATTTGATTACTCAAGTAATTGCTCTTGATCTATCGATCTAAAATATTTTCAGCTCTGCGGCGTTGCCGCTTCTATCGAAAAGTAGCAACAACTTTGTTATTTTAAATGGAACACCCTGTATTTTATCGCATTTTCAGATTCTCTCTGAAGAGCTGATTTCATCGATCACACTTGGGGTCTAGCGGAAATGATTACAGAGATATAGGGTGTGAAAAATCGACATTTTTCAACTTTAGGAATTTTTTTTGTCAAAACTATTCATTATTGGTCAAAACGGCTCACATGATCACATTAGATCGATAGATCAAGAGCAATTACTTGAGTAACCAAATTTTCAGAATGATCTTATGTCCCGTTCTCCGTAAACGTCTAAGGTGCCATCTACCGTGACCCACCCTGTATAGATACCAATATTTCGAGAAGAAATAATGTTCTAATCAATTTATCGTACCCTTTTACCCACTCGAGGAGACGCTATGCACTCTCATACAAAAACCAAAGACAGTGAAGGAAGGAACTCTAATTCTGACCAGTCTCTCAACGTACAAAAATGGTATCATTATTATTCTGTAAATAGGTCATTTAACGAAATTATGGTTCGAAACTGTTCAGAATTGAAACAAATAAACAATTACAGGTGGAGAAAAGTTTTCATGGAAAATCATTTCACGATCGTATATTTGATTTTTATCAGAGTCGCAACAGAATTATGTACCTATCACATGCATTTTTACTAAATTAAATAGGCATTGAACAATAATTCAAAGTATGTGGATATGCGATAGTTGGCAAATGTTTGTGCAGCAGTGAGTATATTAATTTGGCAGTAGTTTTTCATAAGTAGGCGATAAATTGGCACAGAAATTATAGGTTCGAAAGACAAGATAAATATATTTTAAAAATATATCATGTAAGAATAGCGAGGGTTTTGAAAAAAAACTTGAAATTAATCATCTTAGGGACGTCGGTAGGTAGCTACTACTTGTTTCAATTGATCCCGAACTAGCTTTTCAGAATTTGAAGATAGCAGAAAATGTCGACTGAAGTATTTTGTTATTATAGCATACCTGTTTAATGCAAAAAATGTGACAATGAAGATATTCAATCCACAACAACTTTTCAAACATTGCTAGCAATTATTTGTGAATAATTATTATGACTCATGTTTTTTTTATCAACTGATGTTGCCTCATATTATTGTTTCGTGCAATGACAATTTAATTACCAATGAATAATTATGATAACAATAATATTGATGATTCATTTACCATATACCTACAATTAATCTGAAATTTATCATTCAGGATATCATGTTCTCAGTAGAAATAGAAATGCATATTTTTATATCATTATGAAAATAAGCAGTAAGTACAGTGAACAAGAGTAAACAGTAAACATCATATTATTATACAATGCAGTAATTGAAGTCATAACAGTTTCTGTTGACTCAAGTTGATATGACCAACAACATCATCCACATCAATCAATAATTCGATATCCAAAACTAAACAAGAGTTTTGAATTGACTCGGCCATTACTTCATAAACGATGAGATTTCCAAAAAAATTCTCAAACACACGGCATGTTTCGCTAACACAGTAGCTTCGTCAGGTGATATAATGGTAGAATGAGCTAAACACACACACCACACACCACGCCCCCCGAAAGGTTGAATGCCCAGGATCAAGTGCCGCCATATATAACTAGCTTACGTTATATGATAGCTCCTCATCCCCATGTCCATCCACCCCCACTCACTAACGAGTGGACTTCAACCTCATGCATTTGGCAATCTGCATATGTTTTATAAAACCCCTACTTGGTTTCAGTCTTCCGACTTTTGAACCTTTTTGTCTAATGTGTGTTTCCTAGCCTGACTTTGCGTGGTGGTTCCCTACCCTAATGGGAAGCAAAATTTAGTTTATGTCTTATTATTATTGGTTTACTTTTTTTATAGGGTATCAAAAGGAGAGACTCTTTTGTTTAATTATCTGATGATTATTATGCAACTTTTATTGATCTTGATTTAGTTTCGTTCTTTTATTTTATATTTGGTGAATTGGGCGCCTGTACTTTATTCTTCCGAAGCGCGGGTCTTGATTTAATTGTCTGTTGGTCAAGTCGTGCAGTAGCGGGTTCTCGTGGGTTTCCGTTCTTCCGAATGTAGTCTCCGTGTGTTGTCTTATGTAGTTGTCTATGTAGTCTGGGTTTATGTTCAGGTCCCTATAGATAAATCTATTTGGGATATACCATGGGGCGTTTACTGCCATTCTTATTGAGACATTTAGAAATGCCTGTATTTGCTTTTTGTATGTTTCTGGGCATTGGCCCCATGCACTTGATGCATACAAAATTATTGGAAGTAGAATAGTTTTTATTAGGCGCAGCTTCAACTCTAGAGCCATGTTGCTTCTGCGACCTATCAGAGGCTGTAGGTTTTGCCTTGCGGCTTTACCCAGGTTTAGTCGTGTTATAATGTGTTGTCTGAAAGTGAGTTTGTTATCTAGGGTTACCCCTAGATATTTTGCCTCGTCTGCCCATGGTATCTGTATGCCGTTTAGTATTACGTGTCCTGTAGGTTTGGTATGTCGTCTAGTGATATAATGAGCTAAACTAAGATTGGCTTGCTTATATATCCTACTTTCCCAACCTGAAGGATTAGTTACCTGTGGACAGGTTCGATAAATCTCCATTTTTAGAAATTAGTCACAATATCTACATCAAAATACGGTATGTATGTATGTGTGTGGGCGGTCCGGGACCTGACGCACTTAGGCTTCCCTTTTCGGGCCCATTGTGCACCCACATTCCTGGGATCGCAAGTCAGCCATGGAGAAGGCCGATCTCGCGAGCAAAAGAGACCAACTTCCTAGGCCAAATCTTCTTAACATCCTCTGGGTCCAGGATACTGCTCCCAAAATGGATATCCCTTGCTGCCACTATTGCCGGGCATTCAGTAAGGATGTGAGTAGAAGTCTCTTCATCCTCTAGGCACCATCTGCATTCTGGATCCTCCACAATCCCGATCATGCTGAAATGTTTGTTCAGGTGGCAGTGCCCTGTCAGCAGGCCCACCACCAGTTTCAGCTCCTTCCTGTTCAAAGCCAAGAGGGCATTGGTCTGTCTTCGTGACGGGTTTCCTATATGGAGTTTGGACTGTCTCATTCGAGGAGCCTTTCTCCAGCTGTCCTGAACCTTTTCCGTCAGGATTTCCTTCATCTTGAAGTTGCTCCAGGATCGAGTGACCCCTGAGATTGGCTCTGGGCCAATCACTGAACCTTTCGCCCCCTTTCTGGCCAGACCATCGGCCATTTCGTTACCTGGTACCCCTGAGTGTCCAGGGACCCACAAAAGACATACCTTGTTCGTTGCTGACAGCCTTTGTAGGCTATCTATGCACTCTGACACCAAGGCGGAGGTCACCCTATACGAGGTGAGCGCCTTGAAAAATACGGTGTACCGGATTAACTCAAAAGGGTTGATATCAAATACATATTATTACTTACTAAGAAAACAAATTCATCAGTGGTGAACTATTGGGGTCTAATTGATAATTGATCGTTAAGTTAAATGTCCCCGATAGTTCACCATTGTTGTATTTGTTTTCTTAGTAAGTAATAAATAATATGTATTTGATATCAACCCTTTTGAGTTAATCCAGTACACAGTATTTTAATGTAGATATTGTGCCTAATTTCCGAAAATGGAGGTTTATCGGACCTGTCCACTGGTAACTAATCCTTCAGGTTGGGAAAGTAGGATATATAAGCAAGCCAATGTTAGTTTAGTTCCTCGTACCAGTATATCACCTGACGGAGCTACTGTGTTAGCGAAACATGTCCTGTGTTTGAGAATTTTGTGGAAAACTTATCGTTAGTGGAGTTTTTCCAAAACAAGAGTATTCATATATTTCTATACCTTATTGAGAAAGTATTCGCCAATACTTGATCTGTATTTTTTCATCTCGTTCCCTCACCTGATCCATCCGTATGACACCCTCGGCCAAAGTCTTGAACCCCAACATGGTGCGATTCTTGTATCTTTTTCTTCTCTGCAGCAGTATGTGCAGCTTATTTCCCTCCCTCTTCAAGAAATGGGGGTACTGCAGACAGAAAGTGACGTCCAATGGAGTGTCGAGCAGCCCCCCTTGGGGTAGGATGAGGTCGTTTGAGCGGAGAGTTCTCTTGCTGGACTGCATTTTCACGGCTATGGATATGGCAGCCAAGTCTGAACCCAAGGGGCGCAAGATAGCCAGACGCGTCAGAGTTAGAGAACAGAGCCTGCCATAAAGAATTCACAAAATTTGTTGAAAACAGGGAAAATTCGGAAAGTGTATGTAAATACATCGAAATTGTTGGGATTTATCTTGCGTAGAGTTCCTAAATGTACTTGACACTGTTTTTTTTTTGACGTTTTTTGTATATTAGAGTACGAACACTAGACAAGCAGTGACAATCAAACATAAGCACAAGCGATTTTGAAGCAAATCGTATGTTTTGCCAGACAAGGACAAGAATATGTTTTTCGCTTAAAAAGATTCTCGCATCTCGCAAGATATTTGCGTATTTTGTTTCAAATCTGATATAATTTTTAGGTTATAGTTCTGAATTTTGCTAACTCTGACTTTTGTAACAAAATCTTTTAGCTTTAACTTATTTTCCAACTCTCTGAACCTTGGATTTTTGAATATTCCTGCTCTAAGAATTCAATCCTCAATTTTTTTTTTTTTTCAAAATATGTTCGAAATTAATTTCATTATCTGCAAGTTTTTCGGTTGTTGTTGGTTCTAAAGTGGCATAAGGTTCTTTTCGATACTCGCTCAGTTAATAAATTGTAGGTTCGGTTCTTTCTCCCAATACGATCCTATTCTTCAACATCAAATCTTCCGTTCTGAAGTGAACATGATAAAAATGCGTTGAAAAATTGTCAATATCCTACCAAGAAATTTGAATACCTCGCAGATTTTGTGGCCTGACTGCCTGAACCTATATTCCATGCCGGCCGCATCATATTCTGTTTCCATTTTTGTAGAATTACGTTACCCGATGGAAATTCGAATAGAATGAATTGGTTTCCCGTGTTCTCAGTTGGAAACTGCGCAAACTTGTATATTTCTCCTAATTATCTTAATTTGTCCAACCTTTGAAATTTATGTCATGTATGTCCGTGTACTGTCAGTTCCCGCTTTTTCCGTCAGAGTCTAAACAGCAGTGTCAAGTACTTTTAGGAACTCTAATCTTGCGTAACTACAAACAACTGTCAGTGAGTTCAATACGAACTGTATATTTATATGGCATTAATAGTATCCCGGTTAGAGTATGGGACAATTGTTTGGTCACCGTTTTATGAGAATCACTGCACTACATTAGAAAGAGTTCAGCATGAATTTATAAGTATGGCAAAGAGGCTAAATAGGGATTTACTCGAGCGTGTAAAAAAACAGTCACATAGAAATACTCGAGCGCATCAGATATTAATACTGTATGCGCCCCACGTGTTACTGATAACCGAAAAATATTAATCTGCCGATTTGCATGGTGGGGGTGGCCGTACGAAGGGATAGAAAATGGGTAAAAAAATATATTCAAGTGCGTCAAGTCAAGTGGGTCCTATTCAAAAGACTGACGATTTGGACGCAACCAAAAGTCATGACCAATTTTTGAAAATACAAAAAAAAAGTGACCTTGAAATACTCGAGCGCGTCAGATTATTATACAGACGCTTCATCTTGATGTCCTTGTCGTATCGACCTATAATGTGACAATTATGTAAAGGAATCACCTTAATCTGACGGTTGGATTTTTTTTTGTTAAGTGAATGAAATAACTAAAATATAAAATATACTGTGACATCAACAGCTGGAAGAATTCACAATTCACAAAACGTTCCAATTTTTTATATAGGTACTCAAATATCGATCTTAAGTACCAATGTAACTGTATTATTATTTTAAATTGAGAATATTTTTTATGAGAATGTTTCTTTAGTTTGTTTCTATTTTGTTGGAAATAGGATTATTTTCTGTATATAATGTTGTGACGTCATGTCATAGGTTCATTTCATTATCCTTGCTTGGAATTCGAATAGCATAAAATATACCTGAATTTTCTACAAGGTATTTACTGATGAAATAAAAATCGATCTGGCCACCCTGGTCCACGCGCAGAGTGAGTTATTTTCAATTTGCCACATTCAAAACGGAAAATTGCATATACAAGGTGATACACGTTTGAGTTAAGGCAACCGCGACAATTTTTTCTAATGGATCACCCTACATTCTATTCGATTTTTGGAATCACCGTTATTGATTTTTGATTTGATTCGATGTTGCAATCCAACCACGAACGTTGCAGAAAAATATTTAGGTTATGTTCTAATTCAACATTCATGTACCGCATCTAATGATAATCATTTTTGATTCATATGATTCGATATTTGATATGTGATGTTTAGTTGCAGATCCGAGAAGCACAGTGTTTGATACTTGACACAGAATTCGAGAAATCCATCCAGTCAAGCCGAACCGAAGGAACGATCCACAAAGAAAAATGACCAGAGTATACTTCCCTAAATTCATATCACCATGTTCGTACGGAAGGCGATATATTGCTTCCTTTTCCAGATTCTCAAGCAAACAGATAGACAGATATTCACCTTTATGTCTCTATGGAAACACGACAGGTACCCTTACGAGGGGAGAGTACCAACTTTGCGTTGATAAACCCTCTCTGCAAAGGAGGTAGACGCTAGATGGGTTAGGTATATACAGTGTTTTTCATCGCAGAGAAAATTGTTGGTTATCTGCCTGCCTCGTATTCATTGAGATAGTTGATTAATTGATGAATTACAAAAATATATCGCATTCCAGTTACGGATGTAGAGACCAATATCCAGAGTATTTATTCCATGTTCGTCTCACGATTCGAATTTCAAATAGATACTTAGTTTTAGATCCGAGCAGCACAGTGTTTGGCATTCCAGGTCTTGATTATAATATAACCCACGTAATGTGGAGATGAGGATTAAGTCTACTGAGGAAACTTCTATTTGGAAACAAAACTTATATGTTGCAATGTTGCAATCCAACTACGAACGTTGCAAAAAATATTCAGGTAAGTTTCTAATTCAACATCCATGAACCGCATTCAATAATAATTATTTTTGATTCATATGATTCGATATTTGATATGTGATGTTAAGTTGCAGATCCGAGAAGCACAGTGTTTGATCGTTGATCAATCAACGGTGTGATACTTGACACGAAATCCGAGAAAACCATCCAGTCAAGCCGAACCTAAGAAATGGTCCACAAAGAAAAATTACCAGAGTAAGTATACTTCTCTAAATTCAGATCATGATGTTTGTACGGAAGGCGATATATTGATTTCTTTTCCAGATTCTCAAGCAAACAGATAGACAGATATTTACCTTTATGTCTCTATGGAAACACGACAAGTACCCTTACGAGGGGAGAGTACCAACTTTGCGTTCATAAACCCTCTCTGCAAAGGAGGTAGACGCTAGATGGGTTAGGTATATACAGTGTTTTTCATCGCAGAGAAAATTGTTGCTTCTCTGTCTGCCTTATATTCATTGAGATAGTTGATTATACAATAAATTACAAAAATATATGGCATTCTAGTGAACCAATGAAAACAAAGTTAACAGACCACTTTGACAGCTTTCAAAAACTCCGATAGGTGACGTATGCTCATTTTTTATCTGAAATTATACACGGGAAAAATATTAGATTTTGGCTCATGGTTTTTTGTTTCTCTCCACTGACAAAAGGTCGAGCAATAGGTACAACCTGGAGCTAAAATCTACTACTTTTTTTCCCTTGTATGTATAATAAATAATTATTTTTATTATTATTACTTCATTTTGATACCATGGGAGGTATAAGAGGTATTGAAAGTAGTGAGGAAGTATGGAAAATACACTAGATGTACAGAAAGGAGTACAGATGTTTAAGGAAGTAAAGAAAATAAGGAAAGTATTGTACATTTTGACCATAGGAAATTATTAAATCAAATTATTGTAGAAAACAAGCTCATTTGAACATAAAATAGAAATTATAAGTATTAGATTGGCAATGACCATTCACACAGAAGGTAACAATTAAATTGTTGATGATTCATCTTTTAATTACATATTTTGTTGTGAAAGCCTATGCTGTGGATATTACATTAAAATTGTTGGGTGCTTTAACTTGTTACTTACTGATTATAGAGCTGATTATTGTCAGATAAGGTGACAATAATTATAACCTACTACTGTGTACTCAAGCTTTATACATGCAATTGTAAAATAATTACTATTTGAGTATAAATTCAAGAATTTGGAATGGTTAAACCCTACTTTCAACCAATAATTTTAATGATAGGTATTAAAGAACTGGTAAATGTGATGTATCTTCTCAATTCTAATGAATATTCTCAGCAAATCATTTAAGTTTTGTATCAACTCAATGAATAATCTCATTTCCTTTTCTATATGAGTTATTTAAATAGCAACAGGAAGTTTCAAATTGATACATTCTGGGGCTCTTTATTGGTATCAGTGCATGAGCTATTTCCTTTTATTAGCTCACCAACTTTCAACAATAAACAAGTATCCACATATGATATGAAGTCAAATAACCCTTACCTTGGTATACAATTCGACGGTGTCCTATCAACCCAAGTGGCATAAAGTTTCATTTTATTCGGGACAGATGCCCCCGCCCCTGTAAGGGATTTGGACAATTTCTCACTCATTTTCAATGCACCTCCAACAACGCAAAAGAGAAAATACGCATAACTAATTCAAGAACGACGACCGAACAGTATCCGCTTTTTCCATCAACAAACATATCTTTTATTTATTTTAGTTTGAGACCGCATAATGAAATGCAAACTATTGCAAACACAAACAAGATCAAGTCAAGAATATCAAGATTGTGACGTGACGCATACGGAATACGGATTTGATTACTGATTAGTGTCAGAATCAGAAATGTCACAACAAGAACAACTGCAACAGAAACTGACAGAAAGTCTCATGAAGTAGAGTACATTCTTTCTTTCTCCCTCCAGTGGATCTGTGCTGAACATGCAAAAGGTTATAAAGCTTAAGGCCTAGATGTGTAAAGGGTTTGACGGATGAAATTAGCTAACATAGCCTTCTGCTATCTGTCCCTAGGTGGATGAGCGCTGAAGATCTATAAGGCCTTAGGACTGGATGTTTAGAATGTGACAGAAAGTAGCTCACATAGCCCTCTGCAATGGGCCAATGGGTTCAGTCAGGCATCAGGCCGGTAGGTTTAGGGACGTTGAGGTCTGAACTCTGAGGAGTTGAGGACACTGACACTAGCACAAAGATGTGACACTAGGAGAGGAAAGTAAAAAAAACAAATAAAATGAAATTTGGATGAATATTGAATTGGTGAGTTAACTATCATTCTGAAATTTGATCAGTATACTTCTTTCATTCAATCCCAATGGTCCGCTTATACCTCCTTCTGGCAATTTATATTGCAGATGTTGAAGTTTTCGATCTGGTGAGAATTCAAGCAACTGTTTATTACTATCTGAAATTCTATCTAAACTCCAAACACCAATGTTTTTTGATTTTCCATGTCTGGCAAGAACATAATAGCCATTTTTTGTTTGGACTACACCTGAAATAACAGCCCAATGGGCTTTGTGTCCTTGGTATAAACCTGGTGCATTATTTCTATCTGTGTCATATCTAATAACAGTTAAGAAGACAAATTACTTCAATTCAAAAGTATTTGAAGATTTTAATTGAAAAGGATACGGTACCAACATTAACCCTCCTCCCATCAAATGATTAATCAATTTCTGATCATTCAAAATACCCCTATGCACACTAATAATTGCTTTCCTGTCCAGATTTTCTTCTGCCAACTCTGCCATATTTTGTGCACTGAATATTTCTCCATTGAAACTAAAACCATGGTTTCTGGCTGATTCTAGTAGTTTGTCAATGGTTTCTTTTACAGGGTTATCAAGGCACATAGCTAGAGCCACTAATCCACATTGTGGACCATCTTGAATGTAAGCTCTGAGTGGAGTATAACAATAAGTAATTGGCAGGGATACCTCGGAGAGTTGGAACATGTTACATACTTTGTAAACTTCTGGGTATTGTTCTGCCCATGAGAAATCCATGTCAATAAGCTAATCAATACATTTTTGCAGAAAGCCACAAATCAAAACATTAACATAACATAACCTCAATACAGTAACTTTCTAACTAAATACAAATTGGTTTATTTGAACTACTATTGTTTTGACCTACTTCAATGAGCAAATTAAGATGTACAGGAAAGGAAGGTTTACAAAGGATGAATTATTTATACCAAGTAAGGGTGACTATAAAAATGTTCAGAATTCTGGATTCTAGATAAAATTACTCAACATCAAAAATATTGAACACAAAAGCAGCAGGATATGCAAACTTTTTTCTCATGCATGCAAATTTCGCTGATACTAGGCATACTGGCCTTTGGCTTATCCAATTTTTCTTCATTTATATTTATTTTAGATAAGTAATATGCTTGCCACCAATAGTGTAGCTGAAAACACTGCTTCATCATTGAATTCTAATCTCCTGGTGAATATTTCTAGAAAAACTGTTCAAAGGATGTAAGTTTATGGAATAATTCAAATTCCGAATATAATAATAGTATACATATTTTCAACATCCTTCCTTCTAGGGAAATAGGTTTGAAGAGAACAATCTGCAAGAGTTGCAGGTGTCTTTTACTAGCTGGCATTAATTGTAAAATAAGAATTACAAAGAAAAAATTGATTCAAACATGTTTGAAATGTCACAAATCCAAAATATTGAGTATTGAGAACAAAACCTACTTGCCTTGGACTCAGCAAGAAGAAAGTATAGTGGAAGTGATGGATTTTGGAAAAAGTAGTGAAACACAAGGAGATAATGATATTCACACAAAAAGAAACAAAAATCAAGTAGAATCTATACATTCCAATAGGGAAAATGATCACACACTAATGGAAATAAGACAAGAAGAGGTTATCATGAAGAGGAATGAACAGGAAAAGCAGGAAACCTAGGAGAGCTAGCTGAGTTCAATTCAATGATGAAAAATTTAATAAAATCAAATATGTATTTCAGTAAAATAAATGAAAATGTAATAAACTTCACAAAGGAAAAAAAATGCGAATTATAAAGCTTTATCCTCATAGAAAGAAAAGGGAATTGAATGGAGATCCGAATTTCAGTAAAATGATAGGTACACTCTTCAAAAGATTATTATGATGATGAACTTTCAAGTTAAGTCATAAATAAGAATATATGGAATACTTATTATTATTCAATCATTAATGTAGGTACTTGATAATGAAATTCACAATAAAAATTGAATTACAATTATGTTTCAATAAATAAATAAAAAAAGATATGAACATATCTAAAAGAAGTAAATTTCCATTTAAATAAAAACCTGTTCACTAGCTAAACTATCAGTAAAAGGGCTTACAAGTTCTTTGGTGGCAAAATAAAATATTAATCCAAAAGTTATTGAAATTGGCAAAGCTGGTAAAGCTTTCTTGAAAATTGCCAGTAACAGAAGAGTTAGGCACAATCCCTGAAAAAAAAAAATTGTATAAAATTATGTTTTAATTATGAATGCCTATACTCACTATCAAAATTGCCACAAAACATGCCAAAGTGGTATTCCAGTCCCCATAGGAAGATGCTTTTCCTACAAGCACACTATAGAAAATGAAATCTCCCAAACCCAATTTTACACCACCTAAAAAAAAGATAAAAATATAAAGCCTTAATATCTTAAACAGGTACAATTGTCTTACGTTCTTCCTCCTCTTGAATCACTTGTGTGCGAGGCACACCACTAGGAGTATCATGCACTTCCAACTGCCTTTGAGCAACTTGACTAGCATGGTTATCTACCCAATCTTGTGTGAAACCATGGTCTTCACTGGTAGACCTTGATGTTCTGACATTTGGCACCTCTTCACCTGTTGCCATACTTGTATAAGCATACATATAAGTGGCTGAAAAAAATTATATGTTATTTCTTCAAGGGTGAATCTGTTTGATGTTTATTAAATAAATAAATGAAGAAATAATAGCTATCTATTTCAAATATCAAAAATTAAGATCACAGGAACAGATTAACAAAGACATGATAATTGTTTCTTGTTTTTGATTTTATAGAATCCGTTTTTTAATGAATATGAATATTCATCACCTTCAAAATGATGATTATGGTAATATAAAATAAAGGGTGAAGTGAATCTCACATGAATATATCAGTGCAGGGAATATCTGTTCATTTCTCTCTTGTGCAGTCTCCACTAAAATTCTCAAGGGCCCCTTTGGCATCAGTACAGCTATCAAATCTGAAAAGTTTTTGAAAATCAACATTATTGAAACATTTTTGCCAAAATGAGACAGACCCCAAATAGATATTACAGCTAAAACAGCCCATGTTGTCCATTCAGGTAGGTACTTTATAAATACCAAAGCCATGAGAGCTGCTACAAAAATCAGATATGCCTGCTGTAGGACAAGGGGACCTTGCCAATGGATTACAATCATGCCCATTACTCCAAAATTCCACATTATCATGAGGAGAGTAGGGTAATCCATGGGAATGTTATAAGCTCTCAAAATTTCCCTGAAATAAAAATCATTGGTGTTGCTTCTTATAACAAACATGACTCACTCACTCTAGGTATAAATATGAAAAAATTGATAGCAACATCAAAGAGGATACAATCAACCAGCCATGAATAGTTTTATAACACCTGTACTTGTATAAAACTATTAACAGTACAGTCATGCCCACTATTACGGCCATCAGGATCATAGCATTTGCTGCAGCATTCCACACTTTGGTACTAGTATCTGGACTCTCTTCATGAAAAGGCGTATAAATTCTAAAAAAGTTCAACATCAAGGGGAGGTATCATAACATTTTGATACACTTACAAGTACATGCCTTTTATTGAATAAAAATTCACTGCACTAATAGTGGCTACTACAACCACCATACATAGGGAAACTGGTGCAAATAGTTTGATGACATGCTTGGCCCCATATTTGAGTTCCTCCTCATCATCTTGGGGCATTGGCTGGTGTTGCACACAGCGTCTTTGAGTAGGATGGTCCTCGCTAGCACCCTCTTCTTCAAGCCTTTCTTCGTTATCATCTGCATTTCTCCTAGTTCTCTTCCTTGGAATTTCCTGTCCATGTCTCAGGTCAGTAGAGGCTGTACTTCCTGAACTATTTGCAGCAACATGACCATCCATAAGTCTTGTTTTCTCGGAAACTGTATCGTAGTCGCTTTCACTGTCAGACATGCAGAATTTTAGACGTGGGTGACTGGGTGGGATGATCCGGATGAAATGCAAGAATGTGAAGATATTTCGATATTTGTCTTGTCTTTGTCAACAACACAACAACAGAAAAACACCTAAACAAGTAAAAACAGATACTGTTGACACAGAAGAAGACTAGATGAAGTATTACACATATAGGTCGTTGCTTCTGTTGCATCTATTCAAATGAAATTGAAAATCCTCAAAACGGAAGCTTAAAGGTAGCAATAGCAATCAGCATTAAGTATATGTGAACCAAATAATAGAAGTAGAAGATCTAGATCCTATCATGTATGATCCATGTCATCTGTCGTTACTGTCATTGTCAATTTCAATTACCCAAGCTGCCAACTGCCATTTCCTTATTTTGATATTTTGACAGTTGACTTGAGTTGACGAATTTCCTAGGTGTTTTCATTTCTCATTTTTTTGATTTTTCATTAAGAATTTCTTACGAGTTTGAAAAGCGAGATGGTGGACAAATTAGGTAAATTCTCATTAAATTCAATTCAAGTTTTTCATCAAATATATACCTTCGGTACTTTTATTCCTTCTAACCACTTTCGAAGTTAGCACTTAACTCTTCCTTATAAGGCCTCACTATTAAAACAGCAGTTATAAGTATTTTATGCTCTGATTAATTTTTATCGGTTCAGTTTTCAATTGCACTACAAAATGCAGTTAGATTTATGAGGAGGATTATGAATATATCCGATTCACAAGACGCCTTAGTTCAATGAATCATCACTTCCTCTGAAGCAGACACCTTTTTTCCTTAGAGTTGTTAATTTTCTGAATTCGCACTATGTCTATTATTGTAGTTAACAGTGAAGCAAATACCAGACGAATAGCAATGGTGGAGAGCTGTTTTGGAAGTTCTGGACAGGTAAATCAGAATATTCAGTAGTTTGAAATAGGTAATATTCCATCATTTCACTACAGCCTTTGGGAGTTCCTGGTAGAGTCCTTGTTGGTGAAGGAGTATTGACGAAAATGTGCAGAAAAAAACCAAAAACAAGACAGTTTTTTTTATTCAATGATATTCTGGTTTATGGAAATATCATCATCAATAAGAAGAAATACAATAAACAACATATCATTCCCTTAGAAGAAGTCAAATTAGAAAGTTTAGAAGATGACAATCGTAAGTAAATACCTATTTCATTAGATTGCTGTTGAAATCATTAGATTCACTTTCACTAATCATAAAATTTACAGTACCTGATAACTGTACAGTACTAAGATAGATACAGTTGATTCAGAAGTTACTTGCTCTTCAAATTTAGGAAAGAGAAGGATTATTCATTAATTAAATGTTCCTTTATAAGTGAAACTTGTATATGGGTTTTTATCTCATTGTCTCATCCTAAGATTTATCTATGAGTCATATATTTCACAAAAACAAACAATCCAATTGTCATAGGCAATGTTCCTGATATTGAAATAATTGTTCTTTGTAAACTAGTGGACAATGAATTGTTTCCATTTCAGAGTACAAAAATGGCTGGTTGATAAAAACTGCTTCAAAGTCTTTTGCTGTCTATGCAGCAACTGCAGTTGAAAAGGGGGAATGGATGGCTCATATAAATAAATGTATTGATGATTTACTCAGGAAAAGTAAGTCAAGCTCAAAATTTGGTATGACATTACAAATAGTTATTCACAGGTGGCAAAAAAGCAGTAGCAGAACATGCAGCAGTTTGGGTCCCAGATGGTGAAGCACCTGTGTGTATGCATTGCAAGAAATCCCAATTTACACTGTTGAACAGAAGGGTAATTTGTTTTTCTGTATTATTGTGTTTCCAACTACAAACCATATAAATGTTTTAGCATCACTGCCGTAAATGTGGGGCAGTAGTATGTGGCCCTTGCTCAAGTAAAAGATTTTTGTTACCAAACCAGAGTTCCAAGCCTCTGAGAGTTTGTATACACTGTTATGAAACTCTGACACAGGCTATCAACAAGAATCACAACTCTCATGATGTGGCACATAGAGGTTAGTATTTGTGTCCCATATATTTCATTTGAATTCTCAAATTTTGTGAGCATATTATAGAGAAAAAGTTATTCCAGTAGATGACTACTGAGCTGTCTGCTAATGTAGTTTTTTTATCTATATAATCATAAAAATTGGGCTTTCACAAATGTTGACTACAACCTCATCCCATAATATATGTCATTTAGATGCACCTTCCTTAATTTGTATTGAGTTTTTAATGATATTTCATTTTTAGGTGTGAATGCAGATTCTTCAGGAGAAGAAGATTCTGATGATGAAGAAGAGATCAATAAGGGACAACCTGAATCCCATGATCTGGTAAGTGTATTCAGACCTCAATTCAAAGGTTCACAATATTCAATGCTTAGGAATGATAATACCAATGCCTAAAGCACCATAATCTACATTCACTTTAGTAAGGTTCAATCTTTCATGTAAATTTCTCATGACTAAAGTTGACTAAAAATGAATTAGTTAGAGAATCTCATCAAATGAACAATTTTATTATCAAACATAAGAAGTAGCTTGTATTTTTAGCTTCACCAGAATGTATATGTTGAAGTAGATAAAAACTGCATGATTTTGAGAAAAAAGTATTTGAATATCACACTTTTTGATCAGTTTAGGAGCCACTGTCTGGGATATACTTGTTGATGCTTCAAGTCTTTTTGTATGAAGGTCGTAAGTTTGGTTTGATTTTGATTTCGGGAGCTATACAATTTGATTTAATGCTGTAAATAAATGCATATTGCATATGGTAAGCTTAATGATTTTCATGCGATTTTCGATTTTCCAATTTTGAAAGTTTGAGAGTGGCAGTAGATTTATGCATTTGAATTTACATTATTAACAATGAACATTTTTTGGTTATTAGTAACTTTTGGAATTGGTCACAGACCATCAGAAATATCAAATTTTTATGGTTGTTTGAAGTTTGGGATAATAATTATATGAGCATTTTGATATTTGGCTGTGAAGCAGCTTGTGTTTCTTAATGATATACAAATCATATTGTTTATATGGTTGGTTTTATTTTTTCAGCCAAAATTCTATGGAGATAATGAAAAACAATGAGAATTCCAAATAATCTATTTCAGACCCTGCACTTCCATCATTTTATGATATATTGTTATCAGGAGATGAATATTTTTAGTATTTCTGTTGAAATAACTTTTATTTTAAATATAAACACACTGGATAATTACCCATTAATTCATATTCTGTATAAATACTTTTACAAAACAATATGTAGATGTTAAGAATAGATTTTTTAATGGAGAGGAATACATGTTTCCTATTTGGGTGCTAGAATAATTAGTAATGAAATATATCAAGTTGATGTTCTTTTCTGAAATTATTCAAATTATTATACAGGGTGTCTCATAAGTCATGGATCAAAAGAATTGGGGGTGGTAGAAGGGATAATTTCCAATAAAAATCACGAGAAAACTAACCATATATCGGGTGGTCACAAAAAAACCGGAAGTTTTTATTTTTCTCGTGGTTTCATCATTTCTCAACCGAATTCTAATTTCTTGGCGTCGTTTCATAGCTAAAGGGCTATAGTATACAGTGGAATATTTGAAAATTTCATAATGAACAAAAACAAAATGGCGGATTCTACCAAAGTATTGTTATTTACAAAAACCGCTGGAGAAAAAGAAAATCAGATTTTTTCCTACCTGTTCCGATGCCATCTTAGGCTATTCATTTCTGAAGAGAATGAGTACTGGAACATCGAAATCGAACAAATAGTCCAGTAGATACACTCATTTCTTTGCAATTTGTTATGGAGTGAATGTGCTAATCTCGTATAAACGTTTATTATCATTTTGCCTCATGCTTCATGAAAATTCAATTGAATTTGGATTTCTCAGAGTTATTTCAAAGATGAAGAACTGTAGTACAAAATGGAACATTTGAAAATCCAATAATTGAAAGAAACAAAGTGGTGGAGTATCCAGAATTTTTGTGATTTTCAAAAATCTCTGGCGAATGAAAAAATGTGTATTCTTTTAATCAAGACCGATTCAATTTGAGATCATTGATTTCTAAAAAAAATGAGCACTCGAACATCTGAATCGAACAATTAGTCCAGGAGAAACACATTCTTTTTGGCGAAGTGTTATGGAGTGAATGTGCCAATCCCGTGATAAGAATTACTTTTAGTTTGCTTCTGGCTTTATCAGAATTCAATCGAATTTGGATTTCTTAATGCCATTCCAAAGCTGAATAGCTGTAGTACACAGTGGAAAATCTGAAAATTCCATAATTGAAAAAAAAAACGAAATGGTGGAGTAACCCTAACTCTCGTGATTTACAAAAACCGCTAGCAAATAAAAAAATTTTGATATTGACATCGAGATGTAAGTCCATGAAGATTGCGTGAAACCCTGAAAATATATAAAACTTTATACTAGTTGTAGTCAAAACGTAACGAATTTTGAAATGACCAGAATGTGTCTCCCTTTTGCTTCAACTACAAAACTGAGCCAGCTCTGTATCGACCGGGCTATTTCTAACTCAAGCATCGCATTTTCCACGCAATAATCAATTATTTGCTTAAAATCTTCCAAGTTCTCGAAGTTTATTTCATTTGTAAATACCCGTTCCTGTAAGGTACCCCAGACATTAAAATCTACAGAGTTCAAGTCCCTGTTATTTGGAGGCCACATTGTTGGTTCGATTAGATAAGGAACTCTGTTATTGAGATAATCAATAGTTGCGTTTGCCGTATGCACAGGAGTACCATTCTATAAATTTAAATAATGAATTATGTTATGTTGTTGCTGCTGTTAGTATGTTGTAATCAGATGGAAATATATTTTAAGAAGTTCGTTTTTCGGCACATTCACTCCATAACATTGCAAAAAAGTGCGTACAAGTTCTGGACTATTTGTTAGATCCAGATGTTCAAGTTCAAATGAGTGTATCTACTGGACTATTTGTTCGATTTCGATGTTCGAGTACTCATTCTCTTCTGAAATGAATAGCTTAAGATGACATCGGTACAGGTTGGAAAAAATCTGATTTTCTTTTTCTCCAGCGGTTTTTGTAAATGACAATACTTTGGTAGAATCCGCCATTTTGTTTTTGTTCATTATGAAATTTTCAAATATTCCACTGTATACTATAGCCCTTTAGCTATGAAACGATGCCAAGAAATTCGAATGCGGTTGAGAAATGATGAAACCACAAGGAAAATAAAAACTTCCGGTTTCTTTGTGACCACCCGATATGTGGTTAACCAATTGTTGATGGTTCAATAGTAGATTATACCACGAGTCAATAATGATAGCTATTATTCTCGAGGATTTTTTACGAACCGAGCCGCGTTAGCGGCGAGGGAGTAACATTCCGAGAGAATAATAGCCATTATTGCGAGTAGTATACTCTACTTTATTTGCGACTAATATATAGACTTGTGGTTTTTGAAGTATAATGCCATATATTAATCCCGCAGGGAATAATGGCGAGGGATTAATAGTCTTTATTCCCTGCGGGATTAATATATGGCATTATACTTCAAAAACCACAAGTATAATATATTAGTCGTGAATAAAAGGTATTAAATTTTTTTCATTTCTATAAAAAAATATATCACAATATGTCACATTTGTGAATATTTTTCACAAATTTCATTCTCACCTTTCCCCAGAAATAATTGTATGACCTGTATTACTTTCTATCAATTACCTAAGAGAAATGTTGTTTTCCTTAAGTTTCCTCATGTAATGAAATATTTAAGGTGCTTTTGAAATGCCGCTAGCAGATTTAAAAACCACCCCACAAAGATAATCAATCATAAAAACAAGGTGTCCATTTAATACAAGTTCCGAATTGGTACAAAATATGGAGTAATTCAATATTCCTCAAAGATGTCGCGTTTTTCATAAAAATTTAATAACTTTCCAACCATCATCAATTTAATAACCACATATTATACCGTTAGTTTGATTGTAAATGACCCCCCATACCACCGCACTTCTTTTGATATATGCCTTATGGGACACCCTCTATATGATAGTATGTAATACATTTTAATTTATTATTTATTGAAGTAACAGATCGAGGAATAACTTTAAAATTGTCCAAGGACCTTTATTAAATTATAGACTGAGATTTTCAAATATGGAGATTATTTCTGAAACAAGTGTTATTTAAACATTTTAATTTATTGATGAACTTCTTAATATTTACATATAAATATTACACGAATTATTTATTTGAATAAACAAATTAGCAATTATAAGATACATAAGGATAGGACTCTGGAATCCTTTTTGACAAAAAACTAAAATAGAGGTTTATAGAGAACCAGAAGAGCTCTCATCCTGAAATGCTGTTATATCAAGTGGAACACCCTGCAATTTATTGTTACAAATGAAAATGTGATAATATACCGGGTGTTTCCACTTAAAAAACAGAGGTAACGATACTTCCGGTTCAACCGGAATTCACAGCGTATTGAGGATATTTTAGAAAAATATATCACATTGAACTTTACCGGGATTACCATTTCGGATTTGATCACATTTCAATCCAATATGGCGGACTTCCGGTTTTTTCCGGAAATGCCAGCAACTTTGTTTTTTCTGATGGAACACTGTTAATTTTTACATAATCTAGTTCAACAGGTCAAAATTAGTGCAATCTTAATGTCAAATGTCATTTTTTCGAAAATGTTGAAATTCAAATTCACCTCGAGGATAAATGAGATGTGGTCAAAGCTATTCACAATAAGTCCCATATACTAGAGGAACATAATTTTTCACAAAATTTCTTTCATTGTGTCACTTATCGATGAATAATTTCAGTCACATTTTGGTAAAAAAATTAATTTTTTCAAATGTAACCCCTATGGGCCACCTACATATCCTTCTAAAACATACATTCAGGAAAGAAATGACATATCATTTTTGTATTTCGGTGCAGTAACAAATCGTAATACATTCAAAAATCAACAACTAGTTTCATGAATCTTCTTGCAGTTCGAATAATTTTCCAAGTGAGCTGTGCCATGGAAAACAACATTTCTGAATCTCATCATAAGATTGCACTTGTTTTGACCTGTTGTATTTAAATATAAAATAAAAAAAATATACAAGGTGATCCATTTGAAGAAACGAAGTTACAGGGTGACCCGGTAACGTATAGCCATTCCCCAGTATAGCACAGAGCGCACCAACCGATATGGTGCTCTGAAGCGTACTGGACTTTGTTTATGCCGACAAACCAAACCCCAGTACGTTTCAGAGCACATAATACGCTGATCATACCTACAAGCTACAAAGCTCCACGTTGGCATTATTCACAACCCCCTTCTTGGCATACAGGGTGGCATTGAAGAAAGTGCAAGTATTTCTAACACAGAGAAAGCTCGATGTGTA